CGACGACCGCGCCAAAGCCGCGTCGACCGTGTCGTTGTCAATTCTGGTCGTTATTGAGATGTTCAACGCCATCAACGCGCTGTCGTCGAGTGAGTCACTCCTGACGCTGCCGCTGTGGAAGAACATGATCCTGGTCTACGCTATCTCGCTGTCGATGGCGCTGCACTTTGCCCTGCTGTACATTCCGTTCCTGCAGACGCTCTTCTCGATCCTGCCGCTCAACTGGAACGAGTGGAAGGCGGTTCTGGTCCTCAGTGCGCCGGTGGTGCTCATCGACGAGGTGCTCAAGTTCTTGGAGCGCCTTTTCTTTGTCGATGCTCCGTCCACGGAGGTCACCAAGGTCACCACGGCGAAGAAGCAGAACTAATGGGGAGCAGGTATCTACGCATCTTGCCTCACGTCTCTCAAAGAAAATTGGCGAGGATGCGCATTCTTAAAAGAAGGCAAAATTGCCTGGCCTATGGTGCAGAGAACACGGGATTCATCAAGCTCGGATGAATATCGACCTGTGATAGACATATAGACATCATTTCGAAAATGGGGACGAAAATGAAGAAACACCAAATAACCTAAATACCACTTGCATCTCAGGTTATTTGGTATACATTCGGAGGAACTTGTATTTCACAATGTGGAACTATTTCCAGCGTTGGGGGTGGCTCATAGATAGGAACAAGCCGCGGCCAAAATATTTTAAAAAAAAAAAAATTGTTAAGAGACTCCGTTCACATTTAAGTTAGCCAGGCGAAGCCATGGTCGTACTCTCCACTTGCAACGACCTTGGCGAACTCACATCGCTTTTTCTTTTATCGTAGATTACATGTTTTATTGCAATGCACCGCACGGATGGATGGACGACATATTTTGGACCATCCATTAAAAGACGAATGGTATCTTACACTGAGGACCCTCCAAGAGTGCAGATACTGAAAGATACGAGGAACTCGTATTTACCTCGCTCTTTGATCTATCTGTCTTACACACTCCGTTGCCCTCATTTCTCGTCACCCCTTTCCCCTCTAGTCTTGCCGTCCCTTGAGCAACCGCTTGGTCACCTTGTCCTTCTCGATAATGTACACGTGCGCGCCCCAGCCGGACAGCGCATCGCGGTCCACGGCGTTGAGCAGCGCCTGGGAGATGGTCTCAAACAGGTCCTCCGGCCCCAAGTTGGGCTCCCACAGGCTCTCGCATGTGCCAAACAGCTGCTCACTCGCCGTACCCGACACGATAAAGTCCTTGGCAAAATCAATGCAGCCGATGCTGTCGAAGCCGCAGATAAACGGCTGGCCCGTCTTGGGCTCAAGGCCGGCAACGACGGGGCTGACAAAGTAGGGGCCGAAGCGTTTCTCGTACAGCGACGAAGAGACGAGGTTGGCAAACGTCTTGGGCGCAATGTGGCGCTCTTCGCGCAGGCGGTACAGGTTGACTTTGTAGCGGAAGAGGTCGGAGACGGTGCTGACATCGGTGGCGAGGCCCGTCAGGCCCAGGAAGACGTGGTCGCCGTACTGGAAGATCTTGGGGAAGTTGTTGGAGACGGTGAGAGCCTGCATGCCTAGGCGGAGATCGCAGGCGATTGCGACACAGTCCTTGCCAACCATGGCGACACACGCGCCGCCGTCTGTGGGGAGAGGACTACGTTAGCATCTGTGAATCCGCGCGGTTTGGTGTAGACAGCGTTATGCAACGTGTCTAGGACAATACGTCATCGTTCAGCGACGTTGGAAAATGCGTACTTATTGAGAAGGGAGAAGACTATAGAAGAAAGGCACGGTTAGCTTCATATTTGTAGACAGGCCCAGTCGGCCACGCATGCTGGAATGTAGTCTCCCAAAACTCTTACCATATTGTCGGAGAGAAGGACGAATCGACAGAAGCAGCCGGCTCCTGCGTTTCGAGAAAAATGGAGGAGAGAGGAGACGCCGAGCGAAGACGATGTAGCTTAAAGGGCGGCTTCCGGAGGGGAGGTTGGCGGATCTACTTCTTGCAAAGATGCAATGCGACGAATGCGTAGAAATATGGGCGAGATTTGCAGGTGTCCGTGGTGATGCAGTCGTTCGACGAGATGCCAATGTGGGCTGGATGAGGTGTGGTCGTGATGGTCGTGATGGGATTGGAGAGTTTGGAGTTTCACGAAACAGCACAGCCAAAACGAAGGCAATCATGTAGCTGGCGCGGCTGGAAAACGTGACCTAGATTGGTTGGTGGAGTTGCTGGCCAGCCTGGGCCTGGAACTGCCCGCCCCGTTGTGGTTGGTCCGCGCGTATTTGCCTGCCTGCTGTGCCAGTGGCGGCGTGGCGCGTGGCGCGTGGAGGCAGGCACCACCCCTAAGCTTATTAGTAAACTACTTACGGCAGGAGAGCTCTTTCCTGCACTTAGTGAGATGGCCCCTCCAATTGCCTACGTTCCGCTTTCTGTGCAGTTCCCTAGTCTTCTGCAATACTTACATCACAAGTCGGATATTTGCCCTTTTCCACCACAATATACCTGTTGGAAGAGTTGACAGGTATCTTGAACTTATAAACGATTTGGCCATGCCTATGCCCACATCCAGGAAGCTGTTTTAGCTAGCCAGCTCCTTTTTCTTTGACAGGTTCCCCGCTATCGCCAGTACTTCACAACTGGGGCCTACGCAAACGATATATCTCCGACTTTTTTGTTTTCTTATTTTTTGATCTTTTGGGCTTTACGTTTCGGCCGCACTCCTACCCCCTTGAAAAGGATCTTTCTACGATCGCAGTCGACCATGGCGACCTCGTTCATCGTCATATCGACCGACTTGCGCCGCGCCAATGTCAAGGCCCCGGCCGGCGGGTACATGATGGACGTGCTCGAGGAAGCTTGCACAAAGCTCAAGCTCAATGCCGAGAACTACTTGTTAAAGCATAATAACAAGCCGATCAACCTGACAGACCCTGTCCGCGCGGTCGGCCTTACTCAGGGCGCCAAGCTCGAGCTGGTGGTCAAGTCCAAGACGCCAACGGCCGTTACCGTCGCTCTCCGCCTGCCGCCGTCGGAAGCGGCCCTCGGCTTCCCCTACAACCGTGTGTCAGCCAAGGTGCGAAGCGACACGCCGCTGTGGAAGCTTCTACGGCACCTGGAGGAGGCTGATGGTGCGAAGCAAAAGGGGCTGAACATCACAGCACGGGGCGTGCCGCGGACAAGTCACACGGGGTCCGCGACAACGGGGTCGACGACGGCGGCGGTGGTGGGCAGCGGCTCGGGGCAGCTCTACTGGGAGACGCCGGTGCTCAAGTTTTGCGGCCGTGTGCTGTCCTCACTTGCCGACTTCCGCAAGACGCTGTCACAGGTTGGCATCGACACGGGCAGCCAGTTGATTGTGCTCGAGTTCCGAACCTCGGATATGACGCTGCAAGAGGCCATGGAGGCGGTGCAAACCCAACTGGAGAAGACAGACGTAGACGTCGCTACCGGCCAGGCGGCTGTGGTTGCGCCTGTTCCCGCACAAGCTCTGGCCGCACCAGAACTGGCGCCGACTAGTAGTGCTACAGAAAAAGCAGCACCAGCGGAGAGTTCACCAGAAACCGAGGCGCCGGAGGCACCGCCAGCTCCAGGGCCAGCGCCGGCAGCTGCAGAGCCCATGGACGTGGACAGCGCCTCTCAGCTAGCGTCGCATCTGCAACCGGTCCAGGTCTGGTCACCACCCAAGGCCACGGCTGGCATGCCTGCGGCAGCGTCACTGCGCTGGGCCAAAGAGCCCGAGTCGGTCTTTGCACCGTCCATAGCACAAATGAAGGCGCATCAGAAGCAGCTTGAAGAGGCCGGGCGGAACAAGCGGCTCAAGTCGGACGAGGAGCTCGAGGAGGAGGCGCGTGAGCGTGAGGCCAAAGCGGCGGCCGTGGACCGTATTGACGTCCGCATCCGTTTCCCGGACGGCCACACAGTCATGTGGTCGTTTGCCAACGGTGCGACGGGCGCCACCCTTCACGCTGCCGTCCGTGGTGTGCTTCACCCGGCCATCAAAGACGATGCGTTTCTGCTGTCACCGCCCATGTCACGAGACGTGATTCTCGACCGCTCCGGCAGCGCCAAAGACGACCTGGTCCGCGGTTATGGCATGCGGGGCGGTATTGTGGTCAATTTCCGGCGCGGAGCGGATGTTCCCGCACCGCCAGCCGGCCAACCGTATGTACGGCCGGAAGTGGCGGCGCTGGCACGGGACATTGTGATCCCGCCTACGGCAACCGACGAGGACGAGAACGAGGACGAGGAAGCCAAGCCGTCATCGTCAAAGACAGGCGGCGACAGTAAGCGGCCCGACAAGAACGAGGCCATCAACAAGATGTCCAAGTTCCTGCGGCTAGCAAAGAAGTAGGGCGGCCGCCGGAGAGACAATCACCTTTTCATAATACACTTAGCATGATGTTGTGTCTTTATAAATGGGCACCAGTTTTACATCTGTATTACCCCCAATACAAAGACATTTGCAATTCACTAAGGGAATGTACTGTTGTATGAATTTTCTTATTTTTTGTAGATTTGATTTTGTGTTGACGCCAACCGAAATGCCGACCCAAGAGCAAGAATAAAAAAGTAATAAAAGGACTCAAAAGAAGAGGTTGGCGGGGTTGTGTGACAGACTGCGAGGACGCTGAAAAGCTAAAACAAGAAGGCTGTGGAAGCAATGTAGAAGGAGAAGAAAAACGAGAAAACCGCAAACTCTCCCTCTATCGTCCACCCGGTTTGGATTGTCGATGTTGTTTGATTCTGCGGTCCCTTTTGTCTCGTTTCCCCGGATCCTTCCTCAGCCACCGCTTTGGGGAGCGTCGTGTGTGGTGCTTTTCGACTCCTAAAATCCTCGTTTCCCATTTGCCCCGTTGAGCAAGCCGAGTGTTAGGTGGTCCTCGGGTATTGCGTTTCGCCTTGTGTTTTCATGTTGTCACTGCTCCCTCTCCAGATGCCTCCTCTCTCTCCTCAGCCTTATCACCCAGGAACATGGAAATCATCAACCCGCGCAAATTCGTTTATCTTTGGGTTTCCGTTTAATGTCTGCGCGACTCGGCGATCACCCGGGTGAGCTCGTCCACCTTTCTCTTGGCACGGCCGAAGGTACCGAGCTGGTTGCATGTTAGTCTGTAGTTGACACAATAGTCGAGGGTATATTTTTTTGGGCCTGTCGACTACTCACCCGCTTCTTTGCCAGCTTGCGTGCGCGCTTGTCCTTGCTGTTGCGCAGCAGCTCAATAACACGGCGCTCGTAGGGAGCGAGGCCAGCAACCTCCTTGACGATGTCGCGGACGAAAGCGGTGCGCTTGCTCAGGTGGCCCTTGGTGCGGGACACACGGGGCTTGACAACGCGGGGGGTGGTTTTCTAAGCGGGAGGTTAGCCTCTGTGTTTCTCGGAGTCTTGTATCGTGGTTCCCGTGGGATGTTCCAGGTCTGATGGTCGCCAGACAGACGGTCGATAGATGACGTTCAACGGTCAATGGTCGACGGAAAATGCAGATCGTGTCCAGTGCATGCACAATGCTTCAGCTTGACTCGCAGGAGGATATCCGGTGCGAATACAAAACATGGCAGCTGGTATCCCTCAACGCGCTTCAATAAATTCTCAACGCGCCCATCACGTCCCTGCATTGTCCATCGCCCATTGTCGTCGTTGTCGCTGTCGTCCTGTCGTCCGACGCCATTGACGGCCTCTGTCTTCCTTTGGGATAATCGGGGATCAAACATACGTGGCCCTTGTTGATGCCGACGGCCAGGCCGGTTCTGGGGGCGGCTTCCTTTGCCATTGTGATCGTGTCTTCGGGGGTTGGTCGAGACGATTGTGGTTGTCGTTTCGTCGGTTGTCGATGGGGGAAGAGAGAAAGGGCCAAAACGAGAGCGAAAAGCAATATGCAGCTTTTTTCCTCGCCCAGCGTGTGGGAAAAAAAAACTAGTGGATTTTTGGATGCGTGGATCCTCTATTTGTTCGGAAAAACTTATGGTGCACCGCTTGGGCTTTGGCCGGAAAAATATGTCCAGGATTTCGGAATATTTGTACGTCACGTGCACTTTTGTCTTGAGCAAATTCGAGAAGCCCTCGATATTTTGGGGTGCACGTGCTGCTGTGGCAGGTAGTGTGGCGGCTAGTATGGCGGTGCAATAGGCTTAGTCATGGTCCGTTGTACTTCGGTAGTCAAATATGTGTTATGAACTCTAAAAGAACACTGTACTATCGGCACTGTGCATGGACGAGGTCTGCATTTCGACATGTCACCGTCCACAACGGCTGCCAATACGACCATGGACCCTGGCACATCGCTTCTGAGCCCCGGAACCGTGCATGCATATGACTGCCTCGATGTTTGTTTGTTTCTGATGTATGACATACTTATTACTCCGTATTTTGTCTCTGTCGAGACTGTGTTCATGGCATCCTGGATGATTTGGGGCTCGACGTCGTGCCATTCTGGCAAAGACGACCCAAAACAAGCGGGGAAGGGCGAGCATCACCGGAGACATATGGATACCTCCCGAGCCCCCAACAGGTGCAACGCTCCCCTGAGGATCTTTGGGGATCTCATTCGCGCGAGGAGGGTGCCGTAGGACAGGCTTTCCCTTATGCACGTCTTCAACACGAGTTGTTGTTAGTTGCCAAGTCGTTTTGCAGCCGTTGGTCGCGCGCGCGCCGTGCCACGAGAGACCAACAGGGCCGTTTCCTCTCGCTTCTTAACCGGTCGTATGGCAAAATGCAGAGTAATATAGCCTCTGTGCCTTTTATTAGCTATCGCCGCTGTTGTTTTCATGTGATTAATTCGCCCCATATCGCATACCTTCCGAGAATGGATACGACGTAATCACAGTGCGCTGCACTCTGTCCAAAGGCGGTGCGATGGCAGTGCTGAAAGCGGGAAACATGAAACAAACAATAACCAGAAAAAAGTGCTAGACAACTGGGTTAACGGCGGGGCTTGAGCCACTCTTTTTGTCCAGGTTGGATGTTTACAGTGAGAGCCCCGTGCTTTATGGCAATTCCAAGGCTGGGGCCAGTAGCGATCGGCCGGTGGTCACAATCTTGCGTGCCAGTGCGAGGGAGAGGAAGTATTTTAGGCAAGCGCGGGTCCCTTTCGAGGGACGGATTTGCCCTTTGGCGATGTATTGCTCCGGGAAAGGTATTTTGGACTTTGGTGAAGCCGGATCCAGTGACTCTTTCCGTCTTCTGCGCTATGTTTCTGTTGTATTACCGGACGCCCGTCTCTTGTACGCTGTACGGAGTACACAGTATGTGCGTCGCCCATGTGTTGTGCAATTGTCGGCCGAGCCGCAGTTTGTTGGCAGTGCGATAGGATGAGTGGACCAAGGAACGGACCCAAGACATACACAAACGGCGCCGTTAACCACTGGTCAGGGGCAACAAAGCTCTTGGCGCAAGGGGTCCTGAGCGCCAGCGGCTGTTGTAAGTAGAACAGAAATACTTGATTGGGAAAGACCGCGTTCCTTGGGCAAGCGAGGCAAGGCAGGTACAAACGGACAACACAAGTTGACAAAGGGAAGGAGAGAAAATCGCCGTCGTTGCTGAACTACATCCTTGTTTTTCTCTCTACTTTGCCCAGTAATTTTCCCTTCCAATTGATCTGTTTCTTTGCACGTCGTACGCCCCTTTTGTTTTGTTCTTAAGGTCCTGCTTTGCTTTCTCTATTCGTTCGTATCTTCCTATCCACACTCTTCCCAATCATTTTGTTCCATCTTCCTTCTTTAATCTCCAATCTATGTTTGTTATTTTCTCTCTCATCTCAGTCTAGCCTGGTTCCAGACTGTTTTAAAGCATCTAGCAATTTATCTTGGCACAGCTGGCCTGCCTTTTATCGCTCTCTTCAATTCTTCAACCAGTGCAACACCAATTTGGAACACCATCACCAACCTCCTCAGCCATGCAGCTTCTCGCCCATCTCCCTCTCCTCTCTCTGCTGGCCACAGCTGCCAACGGCCTGCAACTTCTCCAGTACGACATCCCCGACGAGCTGCTGGCCCTCTTTGGAGCGGGCAACCCAGATCCGGTGGCATCTGCCTCTGTGGCCGCACCGACCGGCACTGGCTCGGCGTTTTCCTCTTCGCCTCATTCTTCTGCTCCGTCCTCGTCCTCGTCATCCTCGACTTGCTACTACCCAGCCACCTTTACCCTCAACAACCTTACGACCTGGTCGCCGGCGGCCAACACGTCCCAGTCCTACGTGGCTTTCCTCTACATCGACAGCGGAACCAAAATCACGACGCCCTGCTCCTACAATGCCTCGTCGCAGTCGCTGACCGCCGGCACCAGCCTGACCCCACGATATGCCTGCGACGACCGCACCGTTTCGTTCATCTGGCAAAAGGGCAAGATCACCGCCATCGAGGCAACATGTCCCGGCCAGACTGCGTAAGCATAGCTATTCTGTCTCCAGTTTTTTTTCTTTATTTTATTTTTATTTCTTTTCTTAATATGCGAAGCCACGGCCAGTTTTCTAACAAAAGCAGAACAAAGTTCGAGGCGTCTGGGTCCCTCGTACCCCGCGGCCTCCAGTGCTCCAAGACGAATAGCACCGACGACACAGGCCTGAGCCAGGGCGCCGGCACCATCTGCGTTGCGTCGGCCTCGCTGTCGGGCAACTTTACGAGCCAGGAGCCGAGCCCGTTGCAGAACTAGAGTCGACCATCGAAAATGGGTGCTCACGGATTTCATACATGGATAAAAAAAGATAGAATTAGATGCCAAGCAGGTCGCAGCAGTCAAGACTGTCGGCAAGTGCCAGCATAAACAACCATAGAGAAATACAGCCTGGTCGCAACGACCAGATCGTGTCGAACACAACAGAAACACAGTGAAGCAGTGCCATTTGAACAAGTAAAAGACGTGTCGTCCATGTATTAACCCTGCGCAAACACCCAGTTTTCTGCAAACCCCTAAACTATGAAATGTATATGTAAAGTGTGTTGTGTGTCATTAAATAAAATAGTGTGAGAGAGATCTAGAAAAAAAAAAAAAAAGACAAAGAGAAATAAAAGCAGATGCCCAATGGTTTACCAACAACAGAGAAAACCCACCGTAAAGAGAGAGAGTGTGAGAGACAGGAAGCAGAACCTAGGAAAAAGAAACAGACTACGCATGCAAACAAATGTAGTGAGAAAATCCGGCAATATGAGATGTACAAGAAATCAAAAGAGCCACGACCAGTAATGGGGCCAAAATCAGAAAGAAAAGAACCAGCACCAAGAGGTGCGATAGAACTTATGCGTCCGAGTAGTACTCGTCAAATTGCTGGTGGCCCGGCGGCGGCATCGACCACGTACCGCTCGGCACACCAGCACCGACAAGGTTTTCGCGCGAGCTCCAGTACTGGCTGCGTGTCCGCCGGTCGCGCTCGAATTCGGCCCACCGCTTCATGGTGATCTTGCTGCTGTCGAACTCGCCCTCGTACTCAATACCGGCCTTTTTCGTCTTGTCACCAGCCGTCTTGCGCGTTTCACCCCACGAGAAGTCGTCAAACTTCCAGAAAGCATACGTCGGTAGGACAAAATTCCATATCGGGAGCGAAATCAGGTAGATCAACATCCACAGAACGTACGACCACCGGTGCGCGGTGACCACAATAAGAACAGCGGGCAAACCCAGAATAAGACCCAAAAGGACAAGCGGGATGATTTGTGGCGGGCGATGAACGATGGAAATGATAACTTGGTTCGTTAGTGACAGATCTGTACATGAAAGGCGGGAAGGACTGGACTGCAGGAAACCAAGAAAACTAAACGAAATAGGTTGTACTTACTGACGTAGAAGGTAAAGGCAATAGCGGCAGGGAGGACAAGAGTTCCGATCAGCTCAACGCCGATGAAAAACTGCATGCTGAAGCAGAAGGTACCGCACAGGTCTCTGACCAACACTAGCTCCATCAGGTTGTGGATAGTCGAGTTGATCCACCGACGACGCTGCGACAGAAGCACCATGAACGACTCAGGAACCGTGGTCTTGCACACGGCCTGGGGCACGAATACCTGCTTCCGCTTGGGGAAGGTCCGCAGCATCAGCGTCGTGAGGTAGCGATCTTCGCCAAGGAGCAGAAGGTTCTTCTTGTGCAGCGTGTCAACGACGTTCTCCGAGTAGTGCTCGACAACGTCGGGATTGGCGAGAATCGGCACCCAGTAGTTCTGAGCACCCTTGGGAGCCTTGATGCGGTACATGCTGAAACAACCAGGCAAACAGGTGACACCACCAAAAACGGACTCGAAGGACTTGGACAGATGATGCGAGATGAAATACTCAAACACCTGGATGGCGGACACCCAGCTGGCACGCTTGTTGGCGATCTTGGTCTCACCACACAGGCCCATGATATCGGGATCCTTGACCATGGCTGAGACCATGTGCGTGAGACTGTCGGGGAAGACCTTGGTGTCGGCGTCGACCATCAATACGACCTCGTAGAAATCGGGAGAGATGCCCGTCACCTTCCATAAACCGTTGAACATTTCGTACTCGAGCTCCGTCATACGCTCGTCGAACATAACCTTTTGAAGGAACGACATCAGGATGATCTGACTGTCGCGCTTACCACGGTTGCCGGGCTTGGACTTGGACTCCTCGTCCGGCGTGCCGCACTTGACAACGACCATCATCGGCACACGCTGCTGCTTGTCGAGAGGGATGCTGGATTTGGCGCCGTAATCGTAGAAACCAGCATAGATTTTGGCCATGTTGTGACGCTTGGAACCACTGGCAACAGCAACATACGAGAACGCCTCAACCTCATCCCTGGGAATGGTCAAGTCCTTCATCATGTTCAGAACAATATCCGGAGTCGAGTACGATTCGCCCTTGCCCTTGATCAAACCATCGCAGACAACAAGAAGAACCTTGTGGCTGTTGGGGTAGTCCGTCATAGCAACCGAGTCGAGAGTCGTGCGAATACCAAGCTCACCCTCCGAGTAGGCGGTGACGAGGCAAATCGTGTGTGCAAGAGGGAAACCGAACGGCATCCAGTCCGACGGCGGCTGCGGTACAACGGCCTCATGAATAAAGCCCGCGGGACCGGGGCCGTCTGTTGGACTTACGTTGTTGTTGTAAGACCCTGCACGAAGGAAGCTGCTGCGGCTGTCGTTGCCCTGGCGGTAGAGGGAGTTGGGGTGAAGTAGCTGGGCACCCGAGCTCTGGCTGGCCATCGTCGTTGGTGCCATGCGGATACGGGAGTTGCGGTCGCCGGCCGACACAGCAGAAAAGCGAGACGTAGTCGGCAGGAAGCTGCTGCGCTTGCTATTGCGGTCAGAGCTAGCGCCAGCTACACTACTTCCAACATCACCCGGCATCCGGATGGGAGCGCGGTAGATGTCGTCGCTCCAATCTTCAATTTGCTTGTTGCGCTTGCGCTGGTCGGATGACTGCGACGTCTTGGACGCCGCGTAGGCCTTGCTGAGGAACCACTGGAAAAAGATGGCCAAAACAAAACGAGACACGACAACAGACAGAATGAGAACCAGGGACACATACAGAACAACCTTGGAGGCAATGCAACCAACGGTGTCTGTGTCCACGGTACCGACCTTGATGATGTCCTCGAAGCACTCGGCGTAGGCCTTGTCACCAGAGGACTGGAACATGCGGGTCACATCACGGCCACGAATGGCCTGGTTCGCCGACGTGGTGGTGTCACGGAGCTCCTTGAAGCGGTTCGGGATAGTAACCTGTGTCTCGTTGAACCAGTACAGAAGGTTGAGATCCAGAACGTTGCCCGAGTAAACAATCAGGTTGCGCGAACTGTTCTTGATATCCTCCCAGGTAAAGTAGACAGAGGCGGTACTGTGCAGCTGAGTATAAAAGGTGTTGCGGGCGTTGAATGTGGTGTGGCAAGCGTAGCCTAGGTAGTAGGGGATGGTGAGGTTGACAGCGCTTGAACCGTCCTGGTTGTACGTCGTGCAGGGAAAGTACCACGCCAGGTTGTTGTTCGAGTCCGTGGGGACATCAGAATTGGGCGCCCTCGTGATGACGTCCTTGCACTTGCCGTTGACATTCTGGAACAGGAAACTGCCGTCTTGGCCGCTATGCTTTTCGGGCAAATCAAAGAGAACGTTGGTACCACGGGGGATGCCTTCAGCGGGGGGATGCTGCGAGGTACTCAAGTCGTATGCCGTACCGTGGAAGATCATGTACCCGCCAGATACCTCGTTGACGCGCAGACGGATGCCAGGAGTTCCGCAAACAGCCTGGTTAAAGCCGAAGGTGATAAAGCCAACAAACGCCATAATCATGAGGATGATGCTGATAAGGCCCATCTTTTCACGCCACGCACGCTGCTGCTCTTTGGCAGTCTTCTTGCAGCAGCTTCTTAAGAAGACATCAGGGCACCAGAAAGTCACAATTGCACAGTACACGTTCCACAAACTCGGTGGGCGAATTGTCTCGGCTTTCTTGTTGCGGGTACCGTCTTTCCGAATCTTTGTCGACTTGCCGCGGCCGGAAGCGCGCCGCCGCTCGCGGTTCTTTTCGACCTCGTCGCTGTTCGTGCGACTCCGGCCAATCGGCCGAGGCGTCTGCGAGGTGTCGGAAACGGCATCGCCGATGCGTGAGCCGGATACATCGGTGGCGCCCTCTAAGTCTTCCAAAATAGGGTCGTTGCCCGTCGATGAGGGTATAGTGTTCATGTTGGCGGCATGTTTGCGGTAGTGGTAGTTGGGGTGGTCTTTGCCTATCCGGTTCCGCTCGGGGCGAATCAGGCTTCGTTTCCGTTGAAAGGGCTGGGCGTCTCTGGCTGCGGCCTCGACGTGCTCCGGGGCGTTTGTAAGAGGTAGATTGTCTGCTGTTCCATTAGGACCCCTGACCGTTTCGGTAAAAGAGGTTATTGATGCCCCACGTTGATGTTGCCCGTCGACGGGATAATAGCCACCAGTCTCGACATCTGTCGGGCGACGTCGCTGGGGTGACTCGCGGTACGAATTCCGCGAGTCAAACGCCGGACCGCCGCCAGGTCGGTCGGGGAGAGACATGGCCCTGTGATAAGAGTGAGGTCAGCGACGAGCTTCCGATAGTGAACGAAGACGTATTATGTGAATGGCAGTTGTCGCAAGAAATCAGAAACTGAAGCCATACGACCATGGTCACGAGACGAGGTAAGAAAGGTAGTACGAGAAGGGGGGGAGGGGGCTATTCACCCTTTCGGAGCTGCGATTTGCTATCGAGATCTGAGTGAGTCGAGGAGGGAGAGGGAGGACGAAGGGACGGGCGAGGCGTTTGCGTTTGAGGAGTGACAAAACAATGTAGAAAACGAATGAGACAAGAAAGACAAGAACGAAAGTGAAGACGATGTGAACGGGTCCAGTAAACGAGAGAAACGAGAGAAAAGGGGCCCTCTCTCACGCTGGCTCGAACCAAACACAGCGACAACAAGAAACCGTATTCCAAAAAGGTAACGCAAGTAGGTAGAAAAAAAGAGAAAGCGAAGCAAAACGAATGTATGGGAAACGAGGTAGATCAGGCGAAAGAGTGGTGGGAACAAATAGACATTGGAGGGAACATGGGAGGAAAAAAGGAGAGCCCAAGAAAAGAGGAGCGAGCGCACAACAAATCCGTAACTTCGGGCGGAGGGGGGAGGCAAAAACGAAAAGGGACTGTCTTACTGCAGTAATTGCTATTGGGCTGCGGGCGTGGAGAGCAACCAGACTGGCAGTAGGCGGTATTATTTGTGGATAATGCCCCTGGTCAACCTTACTTCTCCGCTCAGTGAGCGCACACGCGTGTGTGCGTGTTTCTCAGGAGACCACGGACAAGCGCCAAGCCGATTCGCTGCTGCAAAAAGCAAACCCCAATTGCGCAGTGGAGCGTCTAATGGGCAGCAACACGAGTAGCGAAGGAGGATAGATTTCAGCGCAAATCGATAAAGCGGGCGCGTCTGTAGCCTGTCTTTTTCTCAAGATTTCGAATTTTGAGTTCTGGTTTTCGAAGCCGTCGATGCGTGGGCGCAAGAGCTTGCCAGAGAACACGGTGATCCAAAGTATTGTTGAATCGTCGAGAAGGGGCGGGGAAGCAGGTCGACAATCGAAAAGTCCCGCTACTGCAGTGTCGTCGCGCCGGCGACCAGCAGCAGAGCTTCAAAACACACCAGCTAAAGCACCACCTCGCGTGAAGTGGTGGTCAAGGAGAGAAGGCAGCAGGCTGTGGGTGAGCGAATGTGAGTTGGGGAAAATGCAACCCGGACGTGGACAGCGAATGGTCAGCTGCCTGGTTTATCGAACAACACAGCCTGGCGATCAGAACGGCTTTTTTTGGGCAGGTCGAGAGCACCTGATAGTGTTTATGTCCTGGTCGTCGGCTAGTCTGGCCTTCCTTGATCCTTTCTTTCTCCTAGGTGTTTGGATATCGCTGCAACTGTGATGTCTCTGAGCACGGCCGTTTCGAGAACCGCCACCAAGCAAACAAGAAACAGGGTCAGGGCCGGCTGTTTGTGTTCCTTGTGGGCTTACGTTGCGGACGGGCTGGGGCTAAAAGCGATGACAGAGAGATGCTTGGTCGTGGAAGGATGAAAGTAAGTCGGCCATGCCAACAACAAGCAGCAAATTTCGATAAGGGGATACGGGGCTGCTAAAGAACAGACGTCGGGTGTTTTGAATGTTTTCTGGGAAGGTCAACACATGTTCTGAAGCGGACAACCCAGAGGATCCGCGGCGAGGCACGGCAAGAGATTGAATGTGAGGCGTATGGAGTAGAGGCGACGGTGTGTGAGGTGCTCGAGCAAGCGGGCGACTCAGAGGGCGAGACTCGAGGGATCGATCAGGTTCAGACGGAAGGAAATCCTGTCCGAAAAGAAAAATAGAAGACAACGAAATTTGAAAAAACAATGCTCAAAACGACAGTAGCGAGTGTTGGGGAGCCGGAAACGAGAGGAATACACTAGACACAACGTGAAGCTGGGGGTGGAACGAGCGATGCACTGTGGCCGACACAGCGTGTGCCAAGATGAGTGGTCGATACAGCGTGGAAGACACAGACTACGAGGAAGCAAAAAAGGAGCAGAAAACGAGTCAATGTGATACGAAAGGCAAGATGCATACGAGGATAGCTACGGAGTATGGCGTGCGGTCTGGACTGGCCAGCAGAGGCAAGCACGACCGGGGGCAAAACGACCCAGGTAAGAACGATGGGCATGAACAATATGCTTTGCGCTCTGCTCCTGAGGATCTTGTCCCTTCCTTCCAAGCTGATTTGGGGGTCCTCTACAACAAAAGAAGTGGGTGGGTCTATAGAATGAGCCACCTAAAAAGATACCGCCTGGGGCCGCTGGAATGTGTTGCCTTTAAAGTGGCCCACCTATTTGAGAACACGGAAGGTGCCCCCTTTGTCGGGCGCTTTCTTTGCCGGACAATAATCTCGTAATGTAGCAGCATCCAGCACTAGCGCGCCCCTGGCGTTCCGTATTGTTGTGCGATTTTGGCTCATCAAGCCTTTTGTTCCTTTGCTAACTTTCATTGTTTGTTGTGTGTATTTATGTGTATTTGCGTGTCTGTGTTGGGGCGTCACCCGTGCTACTGTTTACCGTTATTCTTTCCCCTGAGCCTAAGGAACGCTGCAATGATGGCCTGCAGATCCCAAGTCGAGCCTTCCTCGCACAAACAAACTCGAACCGTGCCTTCCTGGCTCGAGTTCACACTGTGACTCGATCTAGACTAGTGTGTATCGGGCTGGTTCCTGCTTTTTCAATGTCTGCGCACTGGAGCGGGTTCCGTATTCCTAAATGTATTTATGGGCATTTTCCTCAGGCATAAGACAACCCTTCGATACAAGGTCGTGCTGTTGCTACTCTGCTTTACGAAGAAGTGCCCCGGCAACCGAAAAAGGATAGTCGGTTATTATTTTTGTCGGCCAACCAGAGCCACTGCTTCGTCACTAGTGCCCCACTCCAGCCGCAGTTAAAAGCCGTTGAAACAGTATATATATGAATCCGTACTGTATGTGTCTTGGCATGGCGCACGGAAACCTCGTTTAATATTTGGACTGCAGGGCGAAACGAAATCAACAAATGTTGTGCCCCTTTTCCCCTCAAGACGACAGCAAAATGAGAAATGACATCAGTGCTGTCAAGTTCGATGCTACTGGGAGTGACGGTCCACAAAACGTCGACCAGACCTCGGTCAACTCTCCCGTCACCTCAAGCTTTCTTGGTCTCTCGATGGCTCTCATAGGTGCCGTTTACCTCATCTTGCTCCTCTGCCTCGTGTTGTTGACGCATTCATTACAGGAGTGCGAGATTGCGACACAGCCGCGTACGTTTGCCTCGTGTCTGCGGATCAGTCTGGCCAATGGACCAACGCCCCGTAAAGAAAATTGCTTCGTACAAGGTACGTGCATGCAGCAGGATGTTGATTTCGCGGCGGAAGGTAGGTTGTTTCTTGTCTAGTGTTTTGCTCCGGTCTTCCGCTTTTATTACAGCCAGAGGGTTCTCCCCTGGAATCTGGGTCGCAATGCCGTGCTGGCCGATGAGCCTCACAGTCTAAATGCTGGTATCGTTCTCTGTCTGCGTCGTATTGCTTACGCCGTGCAGCATGCCTTCAGCTTGCCTGCATTTCTCAGTTATTACAGCTATGGTCGTATGCCTTGACCACACACAAGCCTCGCCAATAGACCCAGGCCGTGCTTGAGAGCATTGGTATATAATCGACGTTTTCTTAAGAACATCAAGAACGGTTCAAAAACCAAGGCCTTAAATCGACAAATATATCTGTATGTCCCCCACAACTCTGACAACGGTCCTGTACAACCTGATATGCAAAGGATTCCTGGCCACAATGGTGACGTTACAGAAGCACGGGCAGCAATATAAAGCACTATGTGGTTTGTGGGAGAAACAGGCCTTGGGCCAATCGCAGTTTTGCAAGCGCCCACTATAGCCATATATATCAAGACAGCAAAGCTTGAATCAGTGACATGCTATGTACCCAGCACGACCCATCAACTGCCACCTTTCTCTGGGCCGTTCCCCATCGCGGGCCGCCAAGCTCTATGCTCCGTCCTTGCTCCATGTATTCTTTCTGCGACATACGGAATACAACTTGCATGTATTGCGCTACAGGTATCTTAGGTTCCTGATGTGCCCCTCCAGCCGCCATTGGAGAATGGGCATCAGTGGTCCCTGACGGGGCAGCCAGGCCTTGTGTCGCGGGGGTCATCCCCGTTATTGACAGTGTGGACGCTGCGAACATGATGTATGATGCAAAGGCATAGATGCGAAAAGATGCATGTGCATGTTCCAGTCCCAAATATGAACAGGGTAGAAACACACGCGGAGGGAGCCGCTTCAATATGGGCCACCGCAGGACCGGTTTCAGTATCAAATAAGGCTATATTCAACTTGTGTAATTACAACATACTCCTTGGTCCTATTTCGGTATATCTTTTGCTTTGGGGACACTTGTCCCGTTTTCTATGACGACAGAATGTGTCTTGAAAGAGCTCCGTCTAGCTCCTACTTTGCAAACCTGTCATACGTATTGCGACGGCAACGACTGCTGAATTTTGTGTCGTGGTCATGCCAGCGGTCAGTTCTGCGCGACGCGCTTCAAGACACCCGTGTCATCACATAACGATTGGAAACTCTCACGTCAAAGGCCCGGTTATTACGAAGAAGTAAAATATTTCTCTTTCTTTCTTAATCGGAAATTTTACGCAGAAAAACGGCCACGGAGCACTCCGTACAACGGGAAGGCCGCCACTTCCGTATTCAAGAGTGGTCTTCAGCCTTTGCCCACTATTTCCCGTCTCCTGCTTTGTTGCAAGCGCGAAAATCACGACTGTGGTTATCCTTTGGTTACATAAAAATAGTTTAAACAAATACGAACCAACTTGACACGAGGACCCTGTGGCAATTCTGACCTTCTATCCCGTAAACTGCAGATTTTCTCCATGTTTTTTCTCATATGGTCGTGTTGCATCGGATCATCAACTTGTTCCTATCCGCGAGATTGAATACTTTCTCTTCCCAAATCACGAGCGGGACCTGTCAAATACGAAAATAGTCAAGTCCAACGGGCGTCAAAACCCTTTGCCCGGGTCCAGCAGCAGTCGCCATCCAGCTCCAGTTGTCTAAGAGGTATTGCCCTTCTGCTCATCTCTCTGGTGCCCTTCTGGCGGCCTTGATCTATGAGATTCGGATCTACCGAGCAGCCCCTCCTGTGACCAACATACGTCACCAGGCACTGGTTAAGCCAAATGTAAGGCTATGGGTGCACAAGAGTTTTATCCAGTTCTAAGAAAAGTGTTTATGGCAAAAGCCCCTAAAACGCGGCCGCTATACCCCCTGACCGCGTCACTGACATGTCAAGCTGTAAGATTACCGTGGGAAGACACAACGCGAAGTATTACAAAGTACGCCGTATATTGCTGAACGGTTCGAGAAACAAAGGGGCAAAATGCAAGTGCCTGCACCCCTGGACGCGTAAATTCCATGCAAGGACCTTTCAGTAATGATCTGTACGCGGATCGAGCTGAAACCGGTCGTCTTTGCCTGACAAAGTTCGCCCTAATTTCTTCGGCAGCTCTCCACAGTCGTTTTTGTTGTCCGCGGCCGGTTCTTTCGACTCGTAGTTTTGGCTCTGCATACCAGCGGTGACCTGTCCCGGTTCCCATGTTCTCATGTGCGATTCAGACATTCAAGATCAGTTAAAATCTTGAGGCTTGCGGCTCAAAACGACAAACTAGCGATTTTCGCGTATTGCATCTGGCGCTGCACAGACCTGTCGCTTGAAAAACGAGACACGACGACGACGACGACGACGACGACGACGACGACGACGACTACTCCTCGTAATTTAGCGAAAGCGTGGTCTTTGTAGCGCTGCATGTGGATAGAGTAGGAAAGAAAAAGTCTTGAACAAAACCAGCATAACAAGAAAAAGAACAGTCAAATCGATGTTTCCTGTTAAACAGCGCTACCGCCGTCATGTTAGCTTGGGGCTGCGGACAACTGAATACGAAGAATTCTGGAGAGGCTAACCAAATTTAGCGAATGAGAGAAACAAACTCGAACAAGGCGAAACAAGAGCACGAATACCAGGTGGATCGGAGAGGCGCCGACGGCTCCGAAGGCGAAACGAGCGTGAAAAAGAGACAGGAGAGAAAGGGCGCAATACTCTTCACCATGACAATTAGACCCAAGCAAGCCAAGCCCAAGCCCAAGGCCCCTGAAATGAATCGTGTTGGCAAAGAATTCCCAACTTACTGTTGAATACCGAAATTGTCGCGAAATAGGATATGATACCAGCACCGATAGATGACGTCTACTGTTGTGTTTTTTTGTCGGACGCGGAATGCCAAGGAGAAAAAAACCCTGGAATTGCATCTGATAGATATGTGCATAGTGTGTTTACTCCGCATTACCTCGTACATAGAGTCCTGGGCTGGCAGAAATGGGATGTCGATGATATTGGCATGGATAAACAAGGCTGTAAAATAGGGCAGCCGTTGGAAAGGGAACCGGTCTCCATTGCAGCCAAGATCTACTGGGGCAGGAATAGACGGTCGGCAGCCGCTTTCGGGAAGTTGCATTAATTGGAGTGACGGGCGTCATCAATGTAAAAAGAAAAAGAAAAAGGAAAAGAAACAAAAAATCGGGTGTAATTGCTGTTACAGCGACAACACTGCAGAATTTCTCTGTCGTCTTTTGTGATTTGAACGGTCGGCGTCAGAATGAGTCGCGTTAACATACCTGATTTGGTAAACTATGCGCGACGCTGCCGAAACCTCCAGCCTTTGAAGTAGTGGGCGTTTTGCTCTTCTTTTCGTCACTACGACATGTTTTTCTCTTTTCTTATCGCGCAAGTTATTCTTTCTCCCTTTACCGTCTCAGTCCCTTTCACCGTCTCAGCTTCCTCCCCTACTTCTTCTGTTCTTTTGTTTCTAGGCTAGCCTGGACAGGCAAACTTCGTTGACTGAGGTTTAAGCGATGGGGCTGACTTAACAGGGCTGTACGAAGTAGGATAGAAAACAGTCAACAGGGGACCAGTGGACCCTATGAAAGCGGAGACGCCAGCATTCCGTAAGTTTCAGACCAGAAAACACGACGGTCAGTCATCGGTTAGGTGATCCATTGCGAATGAATTCACCGCCCCTTGTAACCGTTCTTTCAGAGCCTTGTGAGGATATTGAGTGTCTCACATCCAACGTTGCTATCTGAAAGCAACCATATCTCAGGTACAGAGTACGAAATAGAGTTCGATAAAGAGCACAAGACGAGAACTGAACTTCTCGGGGACTAACAAAAGCCTGCGACTAAAGAAATAAAGGTTAACAAAAAGGCATGGGGAAAACCAAGAACGGGGTCATTTATTGGCCCATAACTGGGCAAACGCAGGAAGCTGCTACCAACCAAATTTTAATATACGGAGTAGAACCCATTTTAATTTTCTTTCAACGCGGCCTCATGGTGCCGGCCGCGTTCAAACTAAAGTGCAAGGGTTAAAGGCGTCACCACAGTGCTGTGCTTTTCTGCGAAGTCGGCTTTAACCGTGCAAACGACGTCACATTGTCTTGTGTTGCGTGAGATGCCATCCTCAGAAACAGCGGTTGTACGTGCGACAACAGCATGTCTTGCCCGGCTGAGCGGTTTTCAGAATCAGAAACCTCGGAGGGAAGCCGTAAACTGGCGCATGGAGAAACATCAAAGTAGACGATGTGGACTAGATTGCTAGCAGCAGGCTGAAGAGCCTCAATAGTTTTCCAACCCGTTCTGGTTGCCAAGACTATCTGAAAATCCAATTTTAAAATGGCGACAAGGATGCCGGAGAGGCCTATGGAAAGGGAATGATACTAAGTCAATCAGCCACACATCTGCTGAACCAGCCAGTCCCCGTTCTCGCTCATCGTGGGCTCCGTAAGACGCAATCGGCGGTAGCGCGCGCTGAACGAAAAAGCGCAAGATGGATTGGTCTATTTTCACCTTCTACGGAGTAATTACCTTGCCCTACACCGGGCTCCAGGTCAGGCCCCTGAGTGCGGATGCGGACACTTCCCTTGACATTGGAGCATGCAGCCCTTTGTCTGTAGTGGCACTTCACAAGAAGTGCCAAGCCGGACGAGGCAGATATTTCACAGGCACCAGCACTTCGAGTTTGTGAGGTCGGATCCAGTCCAATAGGCAAGCGCGAAATGGCGGCCTGCCTGCCGTTTTTGTCGAGGAAAATAAAAGCTGTCCAAGAAAGGCAGGCATGCAGCCCGATTTGAGCAAGAACGAGGGCGAAACAAACGCAAGACAACAACTGACGAAAAGTGACAAGCACGTTCTGAGAACTACAGAATACCTCGGAAAAGTCTCCGAACGGCCTCTTGTTTCTGCTTTGCCAGATGTCAGCGTAAGGGTTGCACTTGCGCGCAATTTCTCGTATTTCGCCAGTCCAGTAGCTTGCCGCCCGACTGGGCTTTCCTTGTACCTGCAGCGAATGTTAGCTCGTGGTATGGGTCACAACGTTCGTCTCGCACCTGCCTGGAAAACATTCCAACTCCAAAGAGCGAATGCGCGCAACAAAGGAAAGAACGACTGAGTCGTAAACAGACTCACAAATATGTCATACTTGTGTCAACCGCCCGCCAACGTCGCCAACCCCTGTCAAACGGCTCGGTGAGGTCTCATTCTCGCCATTTTGACGTGGCGCCCTGCCCCTGATGCCTGGCACTGTTTTACGACGTGCGGTAACAAAGTCAAAGTAATCCTCCATGCAGGGAGGGTCCAGTGGGCTCAGTGGATTCCAGGCACTGCAGTGCAGGTGCTTATGCAATGTGTCGCTCCTTCCCTCGCAACAGTTCGCGCAGTGAATGATGCGATTCCTTCCGGCTCTGGCGCTCTCCTACTTTCGTCTCAAAAGGGGGGGCGGTGCATCTTAGTCGGGACGTCGTATTTCCTGTTTGTCCACCTTGTTGATGTTTTTGTTGTTTTTTTTGCCTCCCATGCCAATGACCACGACCTGCCGTCCAACCCGCCATCAGCTATTTTCGGCTACAAGATCTCCCATAACGTATGCCGTGAGTAACAATCCAGTCCCAGAGACACCGAACTTGTGCCTGCCGCCCGTCTCAATTTATCTCTTTTCGTTACTTGTCACCTTTGCTTCCCTTGCGGGCTACTCTCTGCCCTCCTTGTTTGTCCCACCTGGCTGTTTGTCTTGTTTGCTTTTCAGTTCATTCTATCTACGGGCTGCCGTGCAATCAGCCTGGCGTGTTTGCTCAGCATTGCGACGTCCTGTTTTCCTGTTCCCAATTGATTGGCTCCGTACAGTATTACAGTATACAGCTCCACCTTCTCCGCTCGCTTGATCCCTCGTCGTTCTTCCGAACAGTCTGTCCCATTTTGGTGTTGCATATCACATCCCCCCCAACTCCTTCTTCAACATTGGTGTTGCATAGTTCAGCGAATGCGACTCGCCGTCGTCATACCGTCTGGTGATTCCCACAAAGTACGCACTACTTGTCTTGTCCGTGAACCGGCGTTGCGACACTGGATTTAGCCTTCTCAGCGTTACCCAGTTGTGTTTTCCTGTGACGATGCCGAGCTACCTAGCGGCACAGTTCATTCAGCCTCTCTGTTTCTCTGCCGCCTTAGCTTGAATCCCACCCCTTGTTCATTCCGCCCACCATTACGGAGTATCTGATCTGTCAGGTCCCTCTACCAAAACGCCAGAGTGCTGCTGTGCAAGGGCATCTTGCATGTCTTGCCTGTAGCCAACCACCACCCCTCCCCATCCCTCTGCGCCCCTTTCCTTTCCCGGGCCCGTTCTGTCGTGCCAGTGCCAGTCGCCACAACAGCATTCCCGCGTATCGACATATTCTTTGCAGCCTCGTATTCCTCTTCTCACAGCCTGCTTTTCGAACTCACGTCTCACCCAGGAAACTTGGCGACTGGTATGGCCCGGTCAACGACAGAGTCCAAAGTCTACAGCTTCACTTGTGCCCATACGCGACTTTTGCACAGCTTGGCCCTGCATATAGGATCCATGATACATTATACAGGCCACGTCCACACAGACACAAAAACACTTGCGAGTTAGGATACATCGATCCTTTCCGCATCTTCCGACACGCGAGGCCCTGACAAGATTACCAGTTTACGACGTCCCCTAACTGCCTCTACGATCGCCCAAATTGGTGCCTCTCTAAATAGTTCCTTAACCTGTCTGGGCTCCCTTGGTTAGGCCCCATCAGGGAGGCTCCACGACCCTTACGAAGTAGTCCGGCTGCCAGGGCCAATTAACCCAGTCCACACTTGTTCTCCACGCCCCTTTTTAGCACACGAAAAAGGAAAGGAAAATAAGAGCAAAAAGCAAGACAATTCAGTTCAGGCAGCGCCAAAAGAAACAGGGACGGACGGAAGACTAAAGAAGGGTTCCATGTTTTAAGTGGACAGCCACACAGGAAACCTCACATGTCCAAGACTTCCCCTCAAGCTCTCCTGAACAGCCTAGAGCTGGAACACCCATGGGAAAAAGCCTAGCCTCCCATTAACTCTTGTCACACATCCTCGTTTTTTTTTTCCTTCTCGCGCCATTCCCTCATTCACCTTTTCTCTTTTGTCTTTCCCCTCAACCCCCCCTGGTCTTTTGATTTACCGTTCCTGGGTCTTGACTCTTTGGTCAACTGAAATCCAATCCAGGCCTTCTTTTTGGGGCTTTTGCTGTTTCTGTTCTGCTTCTTCTCTGTTTCCCTTCTTGGTCGTTCGTTTGCTTCTCCGGTTTCTTCGTCTCCTTGCTTGTCAGCTAGCTTCGACGCGCACCGTTGTTGTTGCCGCTGACTCGCGCTCCGCTCGTTTCTGGTCTCTTGCTCGCACAGTCAGCTTCACATATCTTCTGTATGAAGACGTCCTATATCAAACAATTCGGAAACTGCCAATCGTTCTGGACCAACACAGCACCAGGAAGATAGAATAAGAAGAACGAGACATCGAGAAACGAAATTGTCCTTTGCCCTGTTTCCCATCCTCACGTTGACTCTCGTTTTCTCAACGCCTTCTTCGCCTCTCATTCTCCTCTCACTTCCTCTCCCATCTTCTCTCTCACGGTTCTCACGATGGCAGCCGTCACAACATCGGCGCCCCATGCCGCCTCGCCGCCGTCAAGCCCACTGGGCCGCAAACCCCTCCCGCTACAGACCTTGTCCCCCGAGTCCAGCAGCTGGGCCGAGGAGCCGAAAACGCTCCCAGCCATTCACACGCTCACCGCAGACTCGCCGATCATGCGCCAGTCGCCTATCTCGCCGGTACGGGTCAGCTTCCAGCCTGAGAACTGGGCTCAGGCAACGGATGTCAGCATCGAGTCCACTCCTGCCTACTCGTTCGGCCCTGCTACAGCCACAGACCGCTCCCTGCCCAAGAGCCCCGACGCGCCAACACCACCACCGCATACGCCCCTCTCCCAGGACCGCGTGGAGTACGCTGACTCGCCGGAGCCCAGCTACCACGATACGTACCAGAGCGTAAACCAACCCCAGCTAGACGGCCGTGCACTGCCAATATTAAGTGTACGATCGGCTGCCGACAACGGCCAGGCGCCGAGACTGGACTTTGGCCTGCCTGATCCAACAAGACTTGGCGGCACGGCCACGCCGGATACGGACGCAGACAGCGGCCTCGCTGGCCCCGGCGGTGACAACCGCCACAGCCGCGATACCAACATAACCGCCAGCTCAAGCCAGCAGCAAATATCGACCGAGTCCTCGGCTGCGACGAGCACAAGCTCAATCTCCGGCCCGAACGAGCAGCTCAATTCCGGCGACCTCTCCCCGGAGAGTTCACTCGAGGACGGCATTCCTGGCAGTCAGTCCGTCCCCCAGCTTCAGTATCACCACCAGACGTACCTGCCACACTCTGCCAGCATGGCCGCTATTGCGCAGCAGGAACAGCACGCTGACTTGCGGTCCTCCTCCAACCCCGACCTGGTCGGCAACCCTGCCGCCATCAACCGCCACCTCACGCCCACATCGCACACGTTCCGCCGCAGCTCGCTGCCCCGTCCTCAGTCGGCCTATTCCGTTTACTCGGACATGAGCCCGCGCGGGCGGTCCCCTGGTCTCCTTGGCGGCAACTCCAACATGCGCGCGCCGTCGGCCCAGTCCCGCAAGTCACCTGATACCCGCCCGTCCTCCTACGCCGACATGCTCAACGTACCCTACCCACAACCCGCACCGGCGCCCATTGCGCTCGACAACAACCAATTGCGCAATAATGTTGGTTCCAACGCGTCCCTTCTAAGCACTCAGAAGACGCTTGAAATGTACCGTCAAAATGTGAAGAAGACAACCGACATGTCAATCCAGTACTCGTTTGCTGTGTTCCTGATTTCAACAGCGCAAGAGCAGGGTCTGAGCTACGACGAATCGACGAAGCGGAAGAACAGCCCTAAAATTGTGCGGGATCTGGAAAGCCCGTACGTCGAGACTGCAGGCGCCACACCCCTGGAGCTTGTGCGTGAGGCTCGCAGTATCCTGCAGCGCCTGTCCAACAACGGATATCCATTTGCGCAGTACTACCTAGCCGATGGCTACGCATCGGGTCTTTTCAGTAAGGGTAAAGAAGATTATAATGCAGCGTTCCCCCTCTTCGTTCTTGCCGCGAAGCATGGCCACGCTGAATCTGCCTACCGCACTGCTCTCTGTTACGAATTTGGCTGGGGCTGTCGCAAAGACCCTGCCAAGGCAGTCCAGTTCCTCCGCACCGCCGCCGCAAAACGCCACCCCGGTGCCATGACTCGCCTTGGAAAGGCATGCCTTTCGGGCGACCTTGGCGAGAAGCGCTACCGCGAAGGACTCAAATGGCTGAAGCTCGCCACTGAGTCAGCCGATGCCATTTACAATGGCGCGCCGTACCAGCTGGGCTGCCTGTACGAAACCGGTTACGGCGATGACATCTTCCAGGACGAGAGCTATGCCGCTGAGTTGTTTACGCAAGCTGCCGAGTTGGGTCACCCCGACGCCAACTACCGTATGGGCGACGCTTACGAGCACGGCCACCTCAACTGCCCTCGCGATCCGGCCCTGAGTGTTCATTTTTACACCGGCGCTGCTGAGCGTGGCCACCCCGGTGCGATGATGGGCCTGTGCGCGTGGTACATGGTCGGCGCAGAACCACTTCTGGAGAAGGACGAGGAGGAGGCCTACGAGTGGGCTCGTCGCTCTGCCGAGCTTGGTACGTTTCTTCTCAACCCTCCCCCCTCACCTCCCGGTCCTCCGTGCTTTCATCTCTTGTATGGATAATTAAACTAACTTTGTCATCAGGTTATGTCAAGGCACAGTACGCTGTTGGCTACTTCACCGAGATGGGCATTGGCTGCCGGAAGGACATTCTGGAAGCCAACGTCTGGTATGTCAAGGCTGCCGACGCTGGTGACGAGCGTGCCACGCAGCGCCTTGCTGCCATTCGTTCGGCCATCAGCGGTGGCGGTGTGCCAATGGAAGTCGGCCCTCCCCGGAACGCCAAGATGAAGAAAAGCGGTTCCAAGGACAAGGACGACAACTGCACCGTCATGTAATGGCACAGCAGCAACCCTGCTTCCCCCTGAACCAAGCTTATCCAATCGTTGTGGCTACATTCGGGGTGCTGTCTTCATTTCTGCTGGTTACTTCTTTATAACCGCATCATGCTTGGTCATCATGCTGCGTCGAATTCGACCATACATTTGGATACTACCCAAATTTTAATACTTTCATTTGATTGCTTTGCTTTTCTTTTACTTTCTCTTTTGGAAATCAAAACAGCCCCGGCCAATGCGTCTTTGGGTGGGCTCGGAGTGGCGAGGGTTTCAATAGACGCGCAAAACGCAAATACATACTGCAACACACTTTTACATACTCAACACCAACTTCACGAATGCCGACGGAGGTCTTTTATGTCTGTGGGGTGGTGGGTTTTTACACAGGCTTTTATTTTTGGGAAGATATTGATTCGGCAATCGATACCACTCATTTCGCGACATGCATATACGTTCCTATTTTCGGCCTACTTTCCTCTTCCATACGATTTGAGTTTCATTCCATCATCACTGTGCGCTTTTAATTTACGCTCTGTCGCTCATTCATCTTTTGCTCCCGTACCTCTTCTACGTCATGTCTGGCGCATCACAGCCGTCACGACCACGCTTTCGCCGCACACGGTCGCCCGAGAAGCAATTCTTTGTCTTTGATGAGACAGAAAAGTTACTCCTTTTGTCTTTCCTTTATGGTCGGGTTTTCGTTGCTTCTCCGTTTTCTTTTTTTTTTTTTCTTTTTTGGCCATCCTCGTGCCCGGTATCGTTCTTGTGCACTCCTTTGTTTACGCTTTTTTGTTTGCCTTTTTTGAAATGTGCTTTCGTTCTCTTCTTTCAGTTACATCTTTTTGCTGCAACACTTCGGAAGAGGAATGGCTCGGTCGACGCTTGGAAACGTCTTAATTGTGGTTGATCGTATACCTGTATATACATGAGCGGTCGTCTTGTTTTATACTTAATTCCACCTATGATGTAGAGACTTCCTATAAAATCTATAATGTTTTGTTTCCAACGGAGTATAAATCATTGATATTTGTCTGCATTATTAGCTATCCTTTCGGATCGTGTCTTGCCTTTCGACCACGACCGATGTGATGATATAAAAGTATCTTCCCTCCAGAGTTTCGTTTGCTGCTCGTCCATGCCCAATACAACCCTGTTTCCTCATCGTATTCTTTATGGTCGGTAACGTGCATCTACATGTCTCTATATGCTCCTTGTGCGACCGTTCGCTCTCGAACAAAGAAATATAGCACCCCTTCGTAATGTGTGTATCTATGCATCATTTCATTAACTTCTTCCATCCAACCGCGACCGCGGTCCACACAACTCTGTGGTCTAGGTGGGGTCCCCGAGAAACTACTGCATATTTGATGCAGGTCGACAATACGAGACGTTGTTTGGTGCTTGTGTGGTGTTGCCACAGGGTAATCAGTTGGCCTATTTGTGGTGTCTAGTTTTTGTCTTCTTTCCCGTTGAAGATTGGTTTTGGAGCTGTGAGCGACTAGTAATGGCGATGTCAAGAATAATAAAAGAACACGAGCGCCCTTTTTATTTGATATAGAAAATTTCCTTCAAGGCTCCCTTTTTCAAAAGAAAATGAAAACGAGAAAAAGAACGAATAGAACAGACCAAAAAACATAAAGTGGTAATTAAAATATCAAAATGGATAAAATATCACGTCAGCAATGAAGCTGAAAACCATCAACGTATATTTGTTTAAGACAATTATTACAAACCACACCTCACACGGCCGTTCCGACTCAAAGAACACTTTGCTTGCTGGACCAACTGTAACATGCAAACCTGTTTGTCTTCCCACTCTCCTCTCATTATTGGCAAGGTCCCACAGCGTTATGCTGTGTGACACCAACCGCAGAAATAAAAAAAGGGAGCCCAAGAGTTAAAACGGTCGGAAAAACAAAAGCAGGACGTGAATAAAAATCTGGAAGTTGTCTGGAAAGGGGCAAGAAGTTACTGGAAGTCTCACCTCAGGAACAAACGGGGAGGCCATTCTGATCTTTGATCGAGTGATTATAATGAACGGTCAAGAATTAGGTCGGAGCAGGGTCTGGGCAACTACATACTCCTTGCTACCCGACCGAGCTGACGGCGATGGATTGTAGTCGACTATGAAGTACTCGCCATAAAAGATGGCGATACGCCTCCAGCACGCTGGATATGAGCGGCGCGCCCAAAGTGGCAGGTATTTTGCCCTCTTCCTGCTTGTCATTTTCTTGGCTCCCATGTCGCACTTGCCGCACCCACTGTATGTTCTTTCCTTTTAAATCTCAGACACTCTCCTTCCCCTTTTAGATATCCTGGGGTTTCCTAGCTGCGGTCCCCTCACGTTCTTTCCCTCGTTACTGTTGTAGCAGACCAGCCTTGTTAGGTTGGCTACTAGAAGGAACATTCTCCAAGTCTTGTATATTGCGTGAAAATAGAGTACAGCGTGCTGTTACACGCCGTAGATAACAATGCCATTGACTATGGCGAGGAATAAATTGAGTCTTTCGTTTGCATGCGGTCTCTGAAGGGACTCGTCAATAAGCCCTCTTCCCTTACTGACATGTCACATTTCTCGGACAGCGTACATTTCGTCGGTGCTCGGTCGTTCTTGCGTTTCGTTTGCAAAGCTGGCGCACCTGCACGACTTCCGAAGAAACAGAAACAGCTCGAACCCAGACTCTCTTCCCTCCAAGGAAGCAGCGACCGCCGCTACGACAATGCGAAACTACTCTCTTGAAGATTGGTCGGAAGGTACGACGTACATATGGAAGGCTTGAAAGCCAGCCACCGATTTCAGAAGGCACACTGTCATCCACAGTTGCCGCTACTGCGCGATGCCCGATACGTTCTGTCGCCCCACAATTGTTCGTTGTTCGATTTCTCTGTCCCTTTCGACTGCGTTGGTGCGGTTCTTCGCACTCGTTCACTTTCTTAATCCATTGCGGAAACGTGGTCTGCTCCCACTTGGTCTCTAACGAGTACTTTTCAGCTTAAAAGTACTGAGATCGAGAATACAGAGCTTGCTGTGAAATCGTACTCCATGCTCGGTCCACTACATCTGTTGCACCCATCGCTCCTGCCGTGACCTTGGACATTTAGCGTAGCCCCGCCAGCGCTCGACACCGCCTGCCCCTTTCCACTGTTCAAAGTCCCGTCCAAGCCCCATTTTCTCATTAAGCGCCGGTCATTACTGCGCTCTTAACGGCAACCCCATGCACGCCCGCAGTTTCCCTATGGTTTTAGCTCGCCCGTTCATCCAGTCACTCGACTCGATCGGTTCCGCCCATTGTCCTTGTCGGTCCTGCCTCACCCCACCTGTACCAACAATCATCAGCCCATTACTTCTACTTTACGCAAGGCATCTTACCTACTCTTACTTGTAGCTCCTCTACATATTTTCTGATCTTCCAACGTCTTCTAACCGGCATTCAAGTCTGTTCCCTATCTCGTTCGTAGGAGGCAAAAAGGCTATGTGGACCCATATATGTCCGAGAGCAGCACTACGTTGACGGTCTTAAACTCCCGCAAGCGAAACTTTATCTTGATACGGACGAACCAAGGCCTTCCGACGGTTGGCTTCGTTCTCTCCTCCTCGTCTCTTTTGCCACTTCTCTCGTCCACATCCATCTCAACATTTTCTTCCATTGTCCGCATCATCCTTAGAAACTATTCCGACTGCCAGACTCGCTCGTTCGCCCTCAACGCCTCGCCGCCGGATCGCATCGGGGCTTGCCCTCTTTTGGCCTCCTCGCCGGCGTCGGCCGTCGCATCGGACGTGCCGTAATCATGTTCTAGCTGATACCAGTGACCCTTACTGTGTTCATTTCAACCATACACCATGCCCGGGGCCGACGACGAGAGAGGTCCCGAAAGCCTGCAGACGGCCGACGACATGGCATCGCCACCGACCCCTTCAGCTGAAGCGGTACCAACCGGCGAGCCGTTGCTGAACGAATTCGAACAGATGACAGTGGAGAATGGTGGTATTGCCGAGGGCAGTGCCGCTGCGGGAGTCGCTGCTGGAGACGCTACCGGTGATCCTGATGCTGGCCTTGTCCATACCGTACCCGATGAGGGCCAAGAAGGAAGCACAACTACGATTCCGCTGAACACCATTGAAGTTGCCTTCATCAATTCCCTCGCTGCGCTTCCGATGATAGATTGGTCTCACGTCCCGCCTATACCATATATCCTGGACCCTGTCGTGTCATCAACAACTGGGAGTGCTCTCCAACCGTGGTCACCCTTCAGTGTTAACTATGGGCCAACATCCCCATCTGCGGACCTCTCTTTTGCGACGCCTGCAACCCAGCAGCAGCATCACCCAGAATACCAACAGACCCTGGGCGATATGGCTGACGCAGCTGCAGACCAACCTAGCACGCAGCCAGCCTTGGTCCCAGGCACAGTCCCTCCGCCGCCTGGAATGATGCAGGACTTTCACTTTGCAAACGACTCGTTCTCGAGCTTTTTTTTCGCACCATATACGCCAGAAGAACCGCCACACTACGAAAACACCCACACCGGCCCGGAGGCTCCTCCTCTTCCGTTACCGATCCCGAGCTATTACAACGTTACTGTCCCATATGGGAATGGTTATGCTGTGCATCATGCCGTCCACAACCCTGCTCCTTCTACTTCGCCGAACCCCCCTCCCACCTCCAACGATGACGATGTTATCCCCGCTCCGAACGCCGAGCCCGCAACCGAGTTCAATCTGGAACAAAATGCTTTATCTGGGCCCCCCGTCCCAGCTGCTGCGGGCCACGGTGCGTTTACTGATGCCAACTTTGGCGTGGAGCTCCCTGTAGGCATGACGCTACCGGTCACCTTTACAACCACTGCCGGGCTGCCGATGAATAATGAGCTGAGTCCTACGAACCCAGACTTGAAACGCTTTTTGGTGAACTGGCAGGCATGTACACGCGTGAATGTCCGGGGTATACAAACGTCTCGCGGCCCGGTGCCCACGGTCGTACCCAGCCCCACTGGCACGGAGCACCTGTTCCATACTGAGGTCCACGAAGTCAGGGCGTCCGATCTTAAAGGAGACCACTGTGACTACCAGGGCATTAAATGGGCCGCAATGGGCATCACACGCAACGAGGCTCGTGCGTTCCGGCAACGAAGGTACCTCAACTACTGCGCCAACAATCAAGATGCATGGATAGTGAGTTGTCGAGAATCACCTCCCGTCCCTAACACCGGTAATGTTCATTTACTAACTTCCTCTCCTTGCTACCAGCCTGACACAACAGAGGTCATGCCGCAGAATACGGAGACGTATTTTCGATTCTGTAAAATGAAAATGAGAAAAGCGCCCTACTTGGCACACTTCCAGCTCCGCAACCTACTGGCCGCACCGTCAAAGTCGCGTGTCTTTTATGCCGACCGTCGGAGCATTGTGCGCCAGTACAATTTTGCGACGAATAAAACCGCAATTGCCCTCCGATACCCGTCGGATACATACATTCAGATTTCCACAATTGCCGCCGAACAGGGTGTCCTTGTGTCTGGCGGGTTCAACGGTGAATACTGCACGAAGAACATCGACTCCGAATACGCTGGCGAGTCGAATTCTGGTGCAGGAGGATCCGGCACCTTTTCCAACTTGGGCAGTGGGATATCCAACCATATTCAGATACACAGCGCGCGCCGGTCGGGTGGACCTGTGGCGGCCTTGTCGTCCAACGACTCGCACCTGCGTGTGATGGATCTTGCGACGCAGTCCATTCTCTCCGACGACTTTTTCTCCTTCCCCGTCAACTGCACCGCAGTCTCTCCCGATCGGCGCATGCGTGTCGTGGTGGGGGACAGCAATGATGCTTACATTGTGGCTGCAGAGCAACAGCGTCATATGAAGGACGCGAACGGCACATCGAAGCCTGATGTTCTCCAGAAGCTGGAAGGCCACGCTGACTTTGGCTTTGCGTGTGCCTGGGCTGACGATGGATATACCATCGCCACCGGCAACCAAGACCGCGCCATCAAAATTTGGGACGCCCGTAAGACGTCGACGGCCTCGGGTGTCTGGACACCCATTGGCACGTTGCGCACCACTATGGCCGGCGTGCGCAGTCTCCACTTTTCGCCCGCCGGCTCGGGCAAGCGCGTGTTGGTGGCCGCCGAAGAGGCCGACATTCTGCACATTATTGACGCGCAGACGTTTGACAAACGCCAGGCATTTGACGTTTTTGGCGAGCTGGCCGGCCTGAGCTTCTCTGAGAATGGTCAGGACCTGTTTACGCTCTGCACTGATCCCACCCGTGGCGGTATCCTGCACTTTCAGCGGGACGGCGTCCTCTCCGCTGCCTCCACCTTTGATGAAACGCCCATCGCGATCCTGCCGGGGATCAGTGATTTTGACTGGCCCGATAGGCGTGGGCGGCCCTACCAGCAACGAAGCCGTGGCATACGGCGCCGTTTGCGGGCCGCTGCGGTGTCGTCGATGAACCAGTTTTAGGTCGGCGGTAAGCCGTCTTGCCACATGATTGCTCTTTTCTTAACGATTTTTTTTTGTATCTTTATTGAGTTTATTGCATCGTTTTGCTTTTGTACTCTTTGTCCTGCTCAAGTTATCGATTTTCATCTAGTTGCCGGGTTGATTTCTTTTTCACATGATGAACATTTTACGTGGCGACGTTTGGGCTCTTGCGACAAAAATACCCTCCTTTCATTTTCTTTCCGGGTTCTTGCTCTCTGTCAATACCATCCCTTTTCTACTTATGAAACCCATATTAATTCAATATCACAATATCACACTTTTCGAACACGGCGATTCTCAGTGACCAAAAATCATGTGTCTTGAAGAATCGTTGCTTTGATCTCGATTGGCGATTAAGATGGCGATTGGCAAAACGGGAAAAGCTGACAAAACCCAAAAGGACTGCAAATTAAAACGCCTGAACGACTCTAGACGCACAAGCAACTTGACAACTGAAATAACACGTCACGCAATTTGCGTAATCAACCCAAGGTTCTCATGGTCGCGCTGAACACAAAAAGCAAGTCAACACCAAAGAAGCTAATCAAGGGCGCGCAGAATACAAGTCATGACTGCGAGGGCATCAGAAATCCAAAATCCAGAAATAGACACAAAAAAAACACCTCAACGAGCCCCTCTTTCTTCATAGACCCCCCTATTCACATATCCAATATCTATCCATTACCGCTTCTCCTCCAAATCAGGCCCAATTTCGTTGGGCCGGCGGGGATCAACCATGGCGGACAAGCGGACGTCGCCTTGCCGCGCACCAATGGTTACCCATACATGCTTGGCGGCCGGAATTGCAGTCGGCGTTGTTGTGCCAGGAACCTGCTTCAGGGTCTCACGGGTGCCCGTCCACCGCAGACGGCGCGCACGGCTCATGTCGCTGTTGCCCATGCCGCCATTGTTGACCCACTCGCGCACCACGCTGCGAACAAACTCAACCTTGCGGCGGAAATCGTTCGCCGCAGGGATGCCCTGAATTTCGGGGCGGATCACGGGTCGGCGACGACTGCTCGATGTGGCAGCGCCTCCAGACAGAGAAGCCGCTGAGCTGGAACCGGAGCTGCCAACGCCAAAGTTGAGCAGTGTCTGCAGCGGGTACGAGAGCACGCTGCGCTCGTCGAGGGCGACCTCCTCCAGGAGTCCCGTGGCTGCCATACGCTGAGCTGCCTCTGCAGGGAGGTGCCAGAAGTGGCACCACACGCCTGCGGCATCTAGCACGACCTTGGTGTGGTCGGGGAAGTTGAATTGCAGATGACCGTCGCAAAAGACCCAACAGCCAACATCGCCGAATCGCTGGTAAAAGGTGACAACGTCGCTAGGGACGATAGAATTGTCGACAGCTGCTGTTGCTGCTGTTTTTCGGGCGTGGTCGTTGGCCCGCTCATCAATGCCTCCGTCCAGTTCGCGGCCGTATGCCAGCATATAGTTGGCAAACTTTTTCCAAAGAACGATGCACTCACGTTTGCGGTGATCGTACACATCTTTGCCAGCAGACAGCTTGCCAGCAACGCCAGTGTGCGGATTGACTGCGACACGGAAACGCTGCGGGTCAACACGGACACGCTCAAGCCCTTGCTCGCCGTTGTTTTCGTAAAAGTAGATGCCCTCGTTTCCGGACGATGCCATGGGCACAATCTGGTAACGGTCGGCGTAGCTAGGATCTTCGCGGCGCAGTATGTGGCGCTCTGCTCCGTGTATCAAAAGGCACGCTGGCGGCAGGTTGCCAGAGTCCTTGTTGCCTTCGATTGCCGTGTTGGAGGACTCGACCGGGATCGAGCGCAGGATGCAGCCGATGCTGCCGTCGTTCAAGATATAACCGAGACCAAACTTGTTCGTGTAGTCAACCCACTTCACCACAATTTGCGGTGGTGTTGCATGGGCCTTGTCGCGGGTTGGTGAAATGAATGCCATAGTGCGCGCGTTCAGCGCACGATCCAGCTCAGTTTGTAGCTTGCGCAGGCGCAGAAGGACGGTATCCGGCTCGCTGTTCGGAATGCGCTCATGGATCTCTTTGGGGTTAAACAACGATAGTCTCTCAACACCAGGAGCCAGCTCTTCCCTGCTGGTGGTTTTGGTCGCGCTCAGTGCTGCACCGGCTCCGATGGTAGGTGCTGACTCGGCAGTCGCCATCGCAGCACTGCGGGCAGAAGCCCTCTTTTCTATCGCGGACATTGTTGCGGATGGCTTGCTTCCTGGCAAGAGAGTGCGGGAGCGGCCAGTAGTTGTCGTCGTAGTGGATGTTGACTTTGTAGCGGCAGCTCTCTGCTCGCGGGCTTGGAGAGACAGTCCGTTTCCGAGAGGGATATCTCGCCGTCCAGACGGTCGCCGGACGAGGCCAGGCACAGGTGTTTCAGAAACTGTGGCGGCAGAAGTGGAGGTAGGGAGTGTTGCGGTCGTCGCAGTCGATGTGATGGTGGTTGTTGCAGAAGCAATTTGTGCTGTCTCAGCAAGGCCGCTGCTTCGTGTGGGACGACCCTGTGCCCGCTGCTGAGCGGCGAAACTCTGCGGCGGCTCTCGAAGTAGGCTTGCCGGCGCCATCGAGAGAGTTGCTGTTGCTGAGCGCTTTGCTGAAGCTTCCATTGCGTTTGCGACGACTGTAGCAGTTTGCGTAGACCATTCGGCCAAAGGAGGTTGAGCCGGAACGGAGAGGGATGGTGTTGAGGAAGACGTGGTTGGTTGGAGTTGCTGTTTTTGATGTGTGCCGTACCGGCTGTTGGTATTTGCGCTTGTACTGCTGCCACCCTGGAAGAGCTGGTTCTCCTGAAGCCAGCTCTCAAACGGTCGGTACACAATATCATCAGAGAGCGGGATGGCTGGAGTCAAGCCAGCCTGCTCCTCAGCGGCCATCTCGCGCCAAACTGGCTTTGAGACAATCTTGGCCGGGTTCCACGGTCCCACGTTGCATGTATCACACATCTCCTTGAGAGTCTCGAGGCTCTGGGCCTGGATGCGGCGGCTGACGGGGTGCTGGTAGAAGACGTCGTGCTCGGGGGGCAGTTCCCGTAGACGGACGGTCATGTCTGCGGGTGTGGGCATATAGCCCGTCACAAAGAAGGGGTGCTCAACAATGGCATCGGGATCGGGGCGCATGTGTGCTTCCTGCAGCATAGAGGCCACGACATGCTTGGCCTCCTCGCTGATGAAGCGGCCGTCGGCTGTCGGCCACTCGTAATCACGCTCCTTTGCACGACGGTAAATTTCGTCTGTTGTCGACGACTGAAATGGCGGCTTTGATGTGAGCATGGCAAACATGATGATGCCCAAGCTCCAGATGTCGACCATATGGTCGTGGCCTTTCTTTCCCTTTTCCAGGATCTCGGGCGCAATGTAGTTGGGCGTGCCGCAGAGTGTTGTACGCCGGATGGTCTGCATATCGCGGCCGGTAACTAACAGAGCAGCGAGGCCAAAATCGCCAATCTTGGCGTTCATGTTCTTGTCAAGGAAGATGTTGCCCATCTTCAGGTCGCGGTGGATGATACCCTTGGCGTGCATGTACTTGATAGCGCCGGCGATCTGGACGGCGTAGAACCGCACCTCTGGCTCGGTGACGCCTTTGCGGCGCTTGACCATATCCATGAGCGAGCCATTGGGACACAGCTCGAGCACGAGGTACGTAGAGCTCTCGAAGGAGAAGGCGCGGAAGAACTGGACAATATTCACCTGGCGCATCTTGGAGTGGATCTGAAGCTCGGTTTGGAACTGGGGGGGTGGGGGATTGTGGTCAGAATTCAGTGATACTTATTTTCTCATAGCATTGGAGGTCATTTTCTCACCTTCTGCTCCATCTTGGTCGGCATTTTGCTCTTGACGATCTTGAGCGCATACAGCTTCTTCGTGCCGGCTAAGACGCCCGAGTAACATACAGCGAAGCCGCCCTTGCCTAGCAGCTTGCCCACCTGGTAAACGGCTCCATCCTTGCGGTCGGCGCTTGGCGGCTCAGTAACATTTGGTGGTGGCGGCGGCGGGTGCTCCTTGTCCTTGTTGGCCTTGAGCTGCGCAGCTGCCTTTGTCTTGAGGTCGGCAACGTTGGTGCGAGGACGCCTGGCGTTAGCATCCCTAGGCGACAGCGCCTCCATATCGATGCCCTTTCCAACCATGTTGCTTGCTGGATCCCGTCGTGGCAATGCGGTCGTGACTTGTCATCCGTTGCTGGCTGGCTGTTTGTCGGTTTTTGTAGGTTCGCTAAGCCGTGAGAGCTCGTGGTCCGCCGATAAACAGATTGGATAATTTGTAACGATGAATCTGTTGATTTGTTTACATTGGACAGTTAGCGAATATGCCAGCAAGAAGGGGGAGCGAGCCAATTCTTGTGAGGTGTAGTAAAAAGACAACAGAAGCTAGAAAGTCTGTAGACCGAGGATGGCTCGATACGAGGCGTGAAAAGGATGTAGGCAGCAAATAAAAAGAAATATAAAAAGAGGGAAAAGAAAACAAACAAAAGCAACGACTCACCGAATAGCACGACTTATCTGATGAACAACGGCGCTCAAAAAGCCAAAAAGCAAAGCGACACGGAAAAAAGAACAAACCTGGGTATCGTGAAAATGAAGGGTGCCGCGTTGCATGCCGTCGGAAGTCGAGGTGTGGCCGTGGTGGACAACGAAAGAAACAATGCCGTGAAAGACGCGCAAAAGTGAACCAAAGCTGTCGTCGACGGGGCCGTTGGTTGCTGAGCAACACGCTAGTCGCCTGTATTGGCAGGTGAGGTGGTTGAGCAGGGCGTGCACGGTGATTGGCCAGTGGGCTCAACATGCTTACCTAACGCTAGTGACCCACCTATTCCTCCAGGCTGACGTTCAGCGATGCGTGTGTGGATGTCGCATCCTAATGTTGCCGACAACAAACGGGTGCAGACTTGCACGAAACAACTGTTCTGTGTGTTCTGGTGCTTTGATCGAGTGCGTATTCGTGTGAATACAGCTGCTCGGGGCTGGTGCTGATGGTCAATCGCCAACGTTGAGCAGGGCAACTTTTTTTTTGCTTCACAACTCCTGCAATGGTCCCTACGAAACGATAAACGACATCCGCTTTCCCCTTTCCCTCGAACCTCATTCTCCAACGGATGCGCCCGTGGTAAACTGCTTCGCGACTTGAATTTCCGGAAATATGGTCGCTCTTCCCCTCTTCAAGCTCGGTGCCCTGTTCGTGCGACACATTTCCAAGTATGGCGCGGTACGTGACAGAATGCTGCAGTCTTGGTGTGGCTAGTGTTGTGGACAGGAATGCCGGATTGCAGTCACTCAATTTCTTGTGCTAACCCGCTGCACCATTGACAGAACCGCATCAAGGTGCGCGCCCACGAGCACGAGGGCTTCCGCCGCTTTGCTGCGCGGTACGGCCAGCATATCCACCAGCTGAACATGCGCATGTCTGTGGCTCTGCTGCGGAACAGCAAATCCGACAAGGTTTCCAAGGAAAAGGCTGAGGCGGCCGAGGCACCAACTGCCAAGACCAAGGACCAGACAGAGAAGGAGAGCCGCGAGAAGGCCAAGGACGACGCTGACCGTGCCAAGTACGGCACGACCGCAAAAGAGTCTCACCCGGCGACGATGGTTGTGAACCCAGGCGCAAGTGTGTGGCGGCGCAAGTTCCGGCCGTTGCCTGAAAGCAAAGCCGTCGACCTGTTTGCTGACGTGGTTGGTGACGGTTTCATCCTGGTGATTGCCAGTGCACTCGTAATCTTCGAGTTCTACCGGTCGTCCGCGAAGCCTGACGCCAATGCTGAGCGCATCCGAGAGCTGACAGACCAGGTGGAGGCCCTGCGGTCAGCCGAAGAAGAATATGCTCGCAACGAACGGATACGTGAGAGTCGTATTCTCGCAATGGAGGCGGCCTTACGGGGTTTCCGTGACCCGAAGACAAAACAGCCGCTACTGCCGCCGGCTCCCACAGAAGAAGATTCGAAATCACAAGCGAGGGAAGCAACGGTGACTGCCTTATGATAGAAGCGTTAAGATAGGAGTGTAGAGTTTGCTTAACGGGACGTATCAAACAAGCACAGGGAGGGGGGAAGGCAGTGCGTCTTGTAGAGAGCAGCCTGTGGAATAATGTCTGGGGCAGGTGCGTCCGGGCAATCGCCGATGGGCGCAATGGAGTAGGAGCGACCCCGAATTGCATTTTTTGGGAAGCCGCAACTATTAACCGCTTCATACGGAAGGGACGAACCACACGGAAAGAAAGAGAAAGGAGCAGGGAGACAAATGTTCAACACCTACTTCTGATGATCACATCGCCACATCACCACTTCGCCGCCTGCAACCGTCACCACGGCTTTACGTTGTACACATACACCCTCCTGTTCATAGATCTCATTTGTATATAGACCAGGCCGCTTTGAGCCACGAAAGAGAGACACCACTCCGCATGCACGACTCTTTTGCCACGCCGTCGGCACCCTTCTGGCGGCCGGCGTTGCCACAATCTCGCCGCGCTAGTGTGACCACGACGGCAACCGCTCGTCCAGCTCAGCATAGAAATAGCTTCCCGGCAGCATCTAGCTCATCGACTCTACCTACATTATCTCGTCAGCCGAGTCTAGTTCAAACACTAGAAATACGACCTGCTACAGGTCCTCCGCCATCGACACTGTCGCCTAGCCGTCCGCGGACCAAAATTACCGAGATGATCTTTTGTACCTCGATCCGGGAGCGCCCCGAGTGGGCATCGGTCGTTCCTATATTCCAAGCCGTGCCAGCTGAGCCTCGATGGGAGACAGCGCGACTGAGCTCGCATGATCTTGCTGTGCGCGTAGCGTCGGAGGGGATTGGTGCTGGCGCTCACGGCTCCAGCGATACCATCCGATTCCTCCTTGTCGCTCCAGGCGATGTAGGCCAACTGGAATCAGCCAAAAAACTCCAACGGCTTGCGCAACGGAAGAACGGCCCTGACAGTGTTGTTATTTTTCTCCTCTCGCGGGGCGATGGTGAGGGACACAACATGATGGCCTACAAACAGTTGCAACTCGAGTAAGGAAGCAATGATCCTGTTATAGGGGGCATGTGGGAATGCTGACAATGTGCTCTCTAACCCTCTTTTACTCTCCTTAGCCTCCGGGACATGGACCTGTCCATCTTGCCATTGACTGCTGTTGCAGCTTTACCAGCAACAGTGGCCGCATTTTGTAGTCAGCTCACGATACCGTCGCGGTTCGATCAAGACAATCACAACAATACCTTGCAAAACTTGGTGCGCATGTACTTTGGAGGTCCGTTGCCATTGTCGATCGAAGGCGCAAAGAGGCTGATTGCTGCAACGGCAGCGTCTGCAAAACGACCCGAAACTACTTTGCAGGACGTGATCCGCTTCTGCTCTGACTTTAGAGGCCGAAGCCCGCATCAACTTGCAGATATATTGGGGTCGGAGGATGCCTCCCGCTTGGCCGACTTTTAGGAAGCCGGAATGAATGGCGGGCCTGACCCGTGGATTCTGTTGTTCGCAAAAGGAACATGCTCCAGCCCGTGCGCCCTGTCGGATGCTGCTTTAATTCTGCTCTTTCTCGCCTTCTCTGGCTCGAAGCATTCAAGTTCTGCTCCCGCTCGATCGGTTGGCAATCAGCCAGTCTACAGTTCGGGATCGTTGTGTTCCCACAGAAAAGACAGGGCGTCCTGCACGTTGAGCGATCTCCATGTGCTCTCCTCGGGTCGTCCCTCGTGAGGACCTTGCCGGGAGCTATTGTCATGCTTTCCACTGTTCACTTTGCCGTGTTCTATTTTGTTCTTTCGCGTTTGCAACGCTTCCCTGTTGTATTTATTATTGTGCGGGCTGTACGACATACTCAGTTTCAAAAGGGGGCAAACGAAGGCCAATTGTCTGGTCTATGGAGGCGCCGACATTGCGCAGACATGGAGTTTGTGGCTGCCTCCCACAGCAAAACGGCGCGTATAAGCGCCCGTCAAAACATTACGATTACGGGCTACATGAAGGTCTTTGCACTCTTGCAGTACTTGGTACAATTGTAATACTTCATTGTCTCTCATAGTAAAAAAATGTCCACCAAGCTGTGTCCCTTCTTGTACGGAAATCACTCTTCTAATTTGCCGCGATGCAGCGTTGCTTTCATCAAAATTCATACAATCAAATGACACAGCAGTCCTCAATTGGTTTGGCCTTTGTGGCCTTCCAACTAGGACCTCATTCCAAGAGAGTCCCAGACTCCGTCAACGACCGTGAATTCACTCAGACTGCCGATAAGCTGATATACATGGGCAACCACACATCACTTCCCCGCTAGCTCGCCGGACAGTTGCAATCACAGTCACAATCACAATCACGGTCGCAGTCCTCAGAATGGTTGAAGGGCAGCTGATGGGTTCAAGTACGAGCTACGAAAGACAAATCCGAACTAAGAAGCTTCGGTTATCTGTGCACAGAAAGCTGTTGCCGTTTTGAGCATTCTCGTAAAGAGCCAGTTGGGTGGCAAGAAATGTAAATGCCGAGACATGAAAAATGCGTACGGCAAGTATGCAGCATGGCCCAGCCTCTTTCTTTTTACTCTATTGCTCTTTTAGAGCCTTCGGGTGGGTCTGAGGGGGTTCTTTTGGACCAGATATACAGAATACAAGGATCGCGTACGCTTTGTGGAGAATAAAGGCCAAAAAAGAGCAATGGACAGGTGACGAATATGAAATTGGCGGCCAAGACGGGTGTGACTGAAGGGATTTTCAGAGACATGCAATAGCAGCCTGGCCTCGTGACTGTTTTTCTTCAGATTTCAGTAGTTCAACTCTACTTGAGAAGCGAAGCGGTGAGGAGTTGGTGATTCCTTCAGCCATGCTGTCAGTTTCTGTGCCAAACACCACTTTTACGTGCCTGTTCAACGCACCTCAGGTTCATGCATCCGTAGTTGAAAGAAAATTGGGTACAAAAAATGACTGGCAGGTTGGGGGCCAAAAGTTACCAGTAGGCAAGAAAAGCAACCAACGCGGCAGGAAATTGAGCGCTGTCTCTACGAGAACAATATGCAGTCCCATGTCCTTCCGTGCCGCGAGCTGCATTTCGCCGTAGCCTTATTTTCAATTTATCAGAGGCAATGGCGGTTGGGGGCGAAAAGACGCTTGTAATATGGTGTGTTTGTTGGAGACGGAAAAGGAACCAAAAGCGGGATCTGCACAGAGTGAACAATGGCACGATGCAAGACCAATCTGTTTGTGCCGATTCACTCCTAGAACCAAGAAAGTAGCACTTGTGCGAGGCAAGACACGACGTTGAATGCCGTAGTGTGGTAATTTCGAACTCCTTCCCGGACTTTCTTCTACCTCGTCTGCTGTCTCCAGGCTTCAATCCTAAAGTGGAACCATCCCCGGACGATGTCAGCAAGGTGACAGCTCAGTTCTATTTCTGGAGTCAATAGTCTCATGTAATGTGATTTGATTGAACTGGTGATGGTGATGCACAACGCGGCCTATGAACCCGCAACAAGACTTGGCCACCTTTGGCGGTCATTGGGGGTAATTTCGTTGACCAGGGGAGGTGAAAATGAGAGTAAAGAAGCCAATAAAATCAACACAATGTCAGACACTGCCGGTGATGGCGGTTGAGGTCGAAAGAAGGATCTGGCTTTGAGAGGCTGAGAGGTTGAGGTCAAAGCCAACAGAGGTGAAATGGCGGCGCGGAGAGGACGGGAGGACCCAGCGCTAACCAATGAGCAACTCGTTGCAACCGCCCAGGCTAAGCCGCGAACGGTGCTAGCGCTGTGCAATGCGGCAAGCTAGTCTTTTCGGATTGAAGAATAGCTTGCAAAGTGGGGCCACTTCAGCGTGGTCGCCATGATGTTGACGTAAGACGCTGGTGTAAGTCAACGACAACATCGCAACCAACGAGCTCTTCCATAATTGTTGAGTAATATGTCCACCAAAAACAAAAAGTACCTGATATTTGTAAGTGGACAAGGAGGCTATCTGGTGAGGGTTGGCGGGGGCGTCGCACGGAATCCAGCACTAGACGGGGAATGAGTGGATTGCTGGGGGCAGGATACGATCACCAAAACCTTTCTGTTCACGCTGTATTACATCAACGGTCTATTCTACCTATTCGTTTACCGTGAGGCTGTGGCGTTCTCAGAGACGGGCAGATCGTGGGTGCACGGAGATGGCGCCCAGTGAAGGGCAACAGTACGACAGTTTTGCACTTGTTAAAAGCAGGGCTTTTGATTCTTGATTCGTCTTTTGGAACGTAAAGAGACCATTAGAGCGCATAGGATATGTGAAAACATTAAGGGTAAAAGAAAAGCGGTGTGGTGCGCAACCCTTATATTGGTGATGAGTACGGTGTACATTGGTCAAGAGCTAAAGATGGTGCAGATGCAGCTAACCGGTAATACCAAGAGAGGAAATGTGGCAGGAAACAGACACCGTGACGTGTGGCATCGCCCTTCTTTCCTCAGACTACAGCACACGGGTCACGAGGCCACGAGCTGTGTATACCTATTTCGTAGGACGGAATGTACGAGGCTCGTCGCAAGATTGGAAAATGCGGATAAAGTCATATTCTTACAAAGCGGCATACTGCTTGTCAACCTTCAAGAAACGCAAATCTCGCTGCAGCGAAGTCTGATGATGAGCCGAGCCAATCCGGTTCCTTCAATGCAACTCAACCAGATTATCTTTAACCCATTTCAGCGTGCCATTTGAGATCGTTTAGCCGCAAACAACATTACCTGTAGCAAACGGTGGATGTGACCAAGTGTGGTGCATTTTCAGCGCTAGCGACATGTGCCGAGCTACTAACAGACAGCGGTGCCATGGCCCTGAAATCCACGTGATAGTAGCCAATTAGCCTCGACTGGTTCTTCATAGGCTCCTGTTGACTAACAGCGCTCTGGTCGCCCCGACTGCGCCCGTCAGCACTCTGACTCCTGGCGAGACAGGGGCCACCCTGGGCGCCATTGGCGCCAAAGACGGGGGTGTCCACGCTTCAAACCCATTTTGCTTCAGGGTTTTTGGCGATGCGCCACTGCCGGAGGGTCTGTCGGAGGGTCTGTCAGATCATCGTCTCAGCGTGTTTGAGGGCAACGGTACGAGAGAGATCTTTGACAGTTGCGATGCTGATGAGTCGCCTGTCGTCCTGTCTTTCACATTTGAAGTCGATGGCGTGGCTCGAACTGTCGATTTTAAGTGAATAAGATGATACATCGTAAATACGCACATGATTAACAGCCACAATCGCTCTATTCCGGACTGTATTGTATTATATCATACGTCCAATCTGCGGTATTACAGACGCTATGATAGGAGTCGTGCTGACAGAAAAGAACGAGTGCTCCGCAAGGAGGTCCTACGGGAGTACGGCGTATGCAGAAGTCGCCGGGTGCAACGTAATAATACCTAGCAAATGAACTATACATATCGTCCCCATAAAGGGGTCATGCTGGGGCTGTCTGTTCATTGCACTGACAGAGATTTGGCAAGAGAGCGCAGCAAAACGACCGCATCACGATATGCCCATGGAGCACGGTTCCAGAGACAATGGGACAGGCATGCTCACAGCCCCGGTTCAGAGGTATCGAACTTACAGCTGGGCCGAGAGCATAATACGTAAGTTGGTCAGGTTGTCATGCCAGGTAGGTTCTCCCAAAGTCTTCGATACGAACTGACACTGCTTGAGTTAAGCTGCTTCTATTATGGGAACAAGTCCCAGAGATGGGTGTGATTCGCGAGGGAAGGCAGCTCGAAAGGAAACAGGGGTTGGTTGGGGCTCCCTGGGAAAGAGGCCCCAAAAAGACATGCAGAAAATGGAGACTGCACACTCTTGACACTCTGAACGTCACGACCCACCAACACCGGCCGCCCTGATTGGCCAGCACCCACACCTCTAACCGCCCAGAAACGGCCGGGGGTGGAAGGTGCAGGACAGGGGTGTGACTGCCCTCCCCATTTTTTTTGTTGATATCCTCAACCTCTCTCATTCTTCCTGTCAATTCTCCCTCCAGCAATCCAATCACACGCTTGGGACACCACCTACGCTGGCTTGTCGTCACTTTCCTGCGAGGGCGTTTGCGAGGGGCAGGCAATACAGTCCACTTTCACACTCGCCCAGAGGCCTTTCGACCACACAATGGCCGGTCTCCTGGGTCTCAAAGACGGCCGTTGAGGCGCGGCGGGTGAGTGGGCATCATGAGCAGCACAATTGCCCTGCCAATGCCCAATGGCCTGGCCATACGATATGCAGGCATTGTTCCTGCTCGATTGCATGCGGGATGGAGCCGCTGCGATGCGTCGTCACTCACACGCGGGCCATCCGCCAGCCTGCAGCCGAGAAGACGAGGCCAGGAAATCGACGAGGGAACGCTGCCGTCGTTGCCAGCCGCCTTGATATAGAATGAATGAACAAAAGAACAAAGGAGACAAAGAAAGCACCAATATATGCAGCCCCATGCGGGTGGCACTACCGCCGCTTTGATTACCTGCCCACGAACAGCAAGACACAATGAAGTTGCAGACCAGAAACTACATATGGACCGGCCCTCGCTCGCTTTTGGCCCCCTCCCCCCGTCCTCTTCCCTTGTCGACTATCAAACTCGAAAGTGTTTCCAAAATAGCCAAGCTGCCATTAATTGTTCCCTCAGCTAAAATTCCATTCCCGTTTCTTTCGGCTTTGAAGCCTTTCAGTCCCTCCTTTACCACATCGTCTCTTTTTTCAGTCTCGCACACACACATCTATCTCCTCTCCCCTCCCAATTCTCAGACGCATGTCCCTTTCCGTGCTTCGCCTCCTTAAAATCCAACCCCGTCCGCCCGCAATCCGGTCCTGTGTCTGATCTTCAAACTCCATTGTTCATGCAACACGCCTCCGTCCGTGGTCGTGGATCATCGTCGACTTTCTCGCCCATCATCTACCTACAGCCTTACCCATTTGGCTTTACCTTGTTTATTTTCCCTGACTTCCGTTGATTTTGTCGACACCATTGAAACCCTTTCTCCCGTGTCCCTTCCCTTTTCGTTCACTTTTGCATTTTGGCCCTGCCTAGCTCCGACCGGGATTGCAAACTTTGCCATAACTGATGCAAGTTTCCCATCTCAAACATCGATCTCGACGACACTTTCCCATCCGGGCCCTCACAATTCCACCATCTTGAGGCGTTTTGTTCTAGCCTCCGTGCCCATCCCCCCCCGTCTCCATTCCCATCGTATTTTCATACTGTCGTCGCTTGGCTCAAGCCCCTTTTACGCGTTTCTGCTGCCACCCCCAGTCAAACCATTCTTCGGGGTTATCGACAAAGCCTCTGTCCTGAGCTCACCCCTTGGCCCACGGAGATACACCTTGGCTTGGTCGTTCTCCCTTTCTGCCCTTTTGCACTAGAAACAGCAGCTGCCTTATGCCGCTCGGATGCCCGCTGTTGTCATAGATCAGAAGATCCGAACGTGGGTTGCAATAGAACGACACTGTCACAGAAACAACAGGCCCCATCAGCAAAAAACATCAGCACTACTTTCATACAAGGCGGAAAATACAGCAACCACCACATCCACCTTCAGACCCCCATAGTCCCACTAGCCTTTTCTACATCTCTCTTTTCAAGACCCATATTAGCATCAACCCACAAACATCCGACACGGGCCCCCGTTGGAAACAAGACCGTCTGATACACGAGACACCCGGCCTCGGGTACTGCCCTTGGGGCACGTATTCGCTCTCCAGAGCAGCCCATACAGCACGCCCACACCCACCAAGGCCACCACCCCCAATATAGTCCTGGCTTTGGGTGGTGGACCTACAGAACAGAAACCGAAGAAAACTCTCTCGACATCCGGCTCCAGCCTCTTCAATACCCACCCTTCTCATCTTTTACTTCTTCCTGCTTTCCTTTTTCGTTCGATTCTTGCCTCCCGTTTGTTTTCTTTCTTCTTCTCCAGCGCTGTGCACTCGCTTTGTCGATAGCCTTCTTTCATATCGACACTGGTTGTTGTTTTCTTATTCGCTTCTTCTCGACTTGTACTTTCAACGTCTCGTTTACAACACACTTTTTACCATCCTCGCGGGTCCGGATACCTGCCTGTTTTTACATCACCTTCGCTTCTATCTCGACGGATACTTCGTTTTGTCAAAAAAAAACATCTATTTCGTTTTCTTTTAGAGAGTGTCGTTGGGAAAGAGACAGACCGACCGACAAAAACGATCGTTGATCGTGGCAACCGCAAAATAAAAAGAGAAAACGATTCACATCGACAGCAATACACCACTCACACCAACCTCACACCAACTTCACGTCACCCTAATCCGTCATCATGGGTCGTCTTATCAAGAACCACTGGGCACGGCTCATTGTGCTGACTGCTGCTACCTGTACGTTCAAGCTAACCCAGATAAAATGATGTATTCGTACGGCCAGAATTGTTCTCGTCATACTAACAAATCACAGACCAAGTGGCTGCAGCGGTCGAGGGCTTCTTCTGGCCCAAGATCTTCTGGGACTTCTTGACCCGCAACCTCGACCCCATCGTCAAACCCGTTCCGATATTGCAGATTATCAATCTGCTTTTGGGTCTCTTCATGCTCGCTTGGGAGTGGCCCCTCGGCGCCCTTGCCGGCACAGCCATCCATCGCAGCCTCGAGTCCCGCCTCGCCGTCATCCCGCTAGCATCTCTAGCCGCCGTTCTGCTGTACCAAGGCACCAACTCCGCGATCTACTACGTCGTCGGCATGGCCGTCTACTTTTGGGCTTACAGCGAAGGCGAAATCATCTGCGCCAAGCCATGGTCCCTTCCCCAGCGTGGCAGCCGCACCGGCCGCGTGTAGACGATCCGCCTCCGACAACGCCGAATACTGGACAGTATCTACGCCGTGCCAGTCTCCTCTCTCCGGACAAACCACTCCTGTCGAAATTTAATTCACTCAAATCCTGGAGGATGACTGGCATCGAGGAGTCTCGAGATACACGACGGGCACTTTACAAGACACGAATGGTTGTCTTCTTTTCTCTACCACATTCTCCCGACCTGAGCAACGAACGATTTCTGATGGCTTTTAACGCCCAGCTTCTTTTCTTTATACTCTCATCTTATAAATCTATCTTCTTTTATTATCGTTTCTTCTATGTTCTTTCCCTCCCTGTCTCTCTACTACTACCAGTGTGTGGGGATCTGTGCACAAGTGCGACTGAGAAGGAAAGACGCGGCGAGAAGAAGACAGAGGACGAAGTGGAATTCCAGGCATCTTTGCGTGGGAATTCAGTTGACCTACGCAATTAAGCCACAAGCCTTTGTATATTTCATTAACAAGAAAAAAGAAAACACAAAATGAAAAATCCAAACAGGAAATAAACTCAAAATATTATTAGAAACATTTACGATATGACCTAATGAATTTTTTTTTTAAAAAAAAAAAAAAAACGTCCCGTCTATTGTGATAGTTTCCAGTTGTACTAGTAATGGCTGAAACAGTCTCGTGTTTGATGAGGATATCGATAAATGGACTACATATTCCATCAAAGCTCTCTCGGCTGTGTTTGTTCCTCCGTATAGAGTGAGGCTGGAAACCGAAACACCGCCTCAAGAAGGAAAAAGAAGTCGAGATATTCTACAATAAAACAATAGCCATTCTCGAAAACAGTACTACACCAAACGCGTGGTTTTAACATGCAGCAGCTCCATAAACAAATTGTCAGCCCCGCCTAGCCTATGCCCCGTTTTATGCTCGCAATTAAAGTTTGCCGAAAGCACCGTTGCGCGCCCATCCCAAAAAAAAGAACAAAAAAAAAACGAAGACGCACACTGTGCACTGTTAACCATCCATTAAATTGAATTTTCTTTCTTTTTTATCGATTTTTATTTGTATTGAAATTTTAGATGCTTTGCCCCGGTTTATGCATGCCTTACGTTGCTACACAGCAAACATTAAAAAAACAGAGCGAGAGGAAAAAGGAAAGCAAAGGTACTGGACCAATGAATGCTCGGTCGCTTCCGTCATACACTGGTGGCCCACACTTTTTTCTTTCCCTCCATATGATTCATATCTTTCCCCTCGTTCTTTCAGCTCAGCCAGATTCCCCCTCTTCAAATGACCTAGAATCCCCTACTTGAAAGCATTGGAGAGGGCGCGGCCGAGCCAAGCGAAGTGGGGAGCACGCGACCGCGCGATCGTTAGAACTCACGGGAGAACGAGAGGCTTGTAATGGGAGGCAGCCTTTCCCGCCTACTAGCTAGTTATCTCGTACTCTCGGCCTCTTTTTCTAACTGCACTTAGTGAGCGACACGGGGACCCTGGGTCTCGTTCCGGATGCCCAAACGCTCAGGTGCCTGTTTGTAGTTAGCAAAGGATCAAAAGGAAAACTGCAAGGAGCACACACGTCGAAATAAGAGATAAAACTAACCTCGCTCTCCTGTAGAGTACCCTTTTCGAGAATGATCTTGATGACCTCGTCCTCATTGTGTGTGCCGAACTCGTTGTCCAGTGTGCTATGGGGTGCTGCGTTCACGGGGCCCTGCACGCCGTGCCGCTGGGTCGTGAAGACAGTAAATGTAGAGACAAAGTGGGTGAGAGGCACAGACGAGTCCTTCTTCCACTTCTCGTAGTCCGCCTGGTCGTCCACGAAAACGAGGAAGTCCTCGTACTCGCCCTTGTAGTGAATCTTGGTCTGCACGCGAGCCATAGTTGTGGAAGTGTGGTGAGGGGATGCTGAAAAATCAGGTCGAAGTTGTTTTAAGATAGAAGTGTTCTATGTATCGTCGTTGGTCTTTCGTCGATGAATTGATGGAAGAATTGAGTTTGTGAGAAATAGCAAGAGGGAAACAGGCAGCCACGGAGAAAAAGGGGCATCCCTCCTCTTTTATCTGCGAGCTAATTGTCACCGAATACCCAAAAACAGAAAGCTGTCCTTGGCGTCACCCTCCCTCTTGCCGTTTTGGTCGCTCTTTCCTCTTCGTTTGTTCCTGACCAGCTTTGATTACACGACAACAGACAATACGTCATAGGTGCAAGGCCAAACTAGGTTCCATTCGGAATAGTGGGGCCATGTCAAGCTGAGGAGCGGTTGCTCCGGTACCTCATTAGCACACCAAAGTTCCACCAACTTTTCAGGTACCTCTTGCAATGCCGTCAATGGAGCTGCTTATTACGAAGTTTCCAGTGACCTTTGTGTCTCTTGATCAGAATGTCCGGAAAGGCAGCACCACCTTTCTAGTGAACTAGAATATGCCTTTTGAGAGAGGACTGAGTGTTTTAAGGGTAGCTGTACCTTATTGCAGCGCCCCACCCAGATAGCTGTGCGCTGTTAGGCCCACTAAAGCACGTTCTTCCCGTTTCTGGAGCTCTCCCACAGTACGTCATTGTGGGCTACGTTATGGGGCGGGCGGCTTCGCTCGACAACCAAGGAGGAAGGAGCTGCACAATGTGTCGTTGACCTGCATCTCAAGACAAGCGACAATGTCCACGAGACATGAACGGGCCAAACCCAGGCACAACTAGGACCAAAACGTCGTCATTCGTTTTAGAAATGATTCTAGAACTAAGTTTTGTCCCGAGCACTGCTAGTATCCCGTGCTAAAGACACCACTGAAGTCAACCGGGACATATTGCTGGGACAGTTACAAACTGAAAAGTGATCAAAGAAAATAGCATTGAAAGTGCTCCCATGTCCTTGTGAGAATAACGAGGTAACAATACCAAACACAGAGTGCTCTGTACCAAAACGAACACGGCTCGGGTTGGCCTTGTTTCGCACGCGGCCAAAGAACCTGCAAGACTGTGTTGCCGTTACAGAACACCGCGGTTACCTAACCCTGCAACGTCTCTTTGCATATAATATTCAATGGTGTGTCTCCTTGGTAGACCGGCGGAAACTCCTTCGATGAAGTAACGGCCTTCCTAGCCAGTGTCGTGCTTGCTTTATCGAGTGCGCCCGTGGTGGCTGCAGTGTCAAAGGCGGCATCATTTGGACCGTGGAGCTGGACAGCGAAATGTCCGCCGTTGACTGAGAGCCGTGAGGGGAGAGGTCTGGCATGGATGGAGACATAGTAGCCGCACGGTGAGCAGGGTTGTCTGTTTCTCCCGTACTGTCCGACCTGCGTGGCCCCATCTCTTCAATGAATCGAGTGGCCGAAGATCGAGGAATGTTCGCGGCAACAGCTGTTGATCCAGTGTGGTTGCTTCTTTTTTGGAGAGAGTATTTCATTCGCTCGGTTATTCCTTCCAAAAAATATGATCGCTCGCATTGCCTGTCAAACGACGCGGAAATATCGCTGGACGTGCGCTCATGGACCGCAACATTGATTTGGTCAATCTTTCTGGATTCAGTCGAAGCCTTGTAGACCAAGCCTTGTCCCCCAACCGAGCCACCCTCTGGTTGCTGTAGCAGATCCACCTGTCGAAGGATGTCATGTTCGACGCCCGCCGCCTTGTGGGATGAGGCATGAGATGTCGGTCGTTTGCTAAACGTACCGGTGAGGCTTGCGACACTGAGTTTCCGCATAATCGAAGATGCCGACGGGCGCCTGTGGTGTCCACCTTTAGGACGTGCTGCAAGGCCTGTGCAGAAAAGTATATCCCGTGTCCAGACGTCCGAGATCAACGATTCAAGGTGAGCTCGATCGCCTCGAGGCGGTGTGAGGACGGGTATGCGAGAGCCAACTTGAACGAAGTTGGATCGGCTGCCAGCCGTAGATTGGGACATGCCTCTGAGTGGTTCCTTTCCGGAGCACATGTTGTTCAAAACAACGTGACATGTCAGTGCCTTTGGCAGCGGCATTGTTGTTGTTCGTCTCCTTATGGTCCTGCCTGGATTTGGACGTTAGTATACACGAATAGCGGCGGGCATAGGATATAGAAAACACACCTTGACGTTTATAAACTGTTCCAAGCGATAATATTTTCATATTTATGAACTCAAATGAAGCATCCTCAGGTACGGGGAGGCTCTCGTTGGTAGAACTCCGGGCCAGTCTCCGTCTCCATTCTCGTTCTTCCGTTTGGGAACCGGCCGTCAACAGGATCTCGTGTGAATGACAATTGCATTCAAATGCAAACTTCCAAGAAAATGGTGCCGATCGACACTGCAACCCTATCGACGTTTTAGTCAAGCGTCTCCATTACGTACGTCAGTATGCCCGAGATTCATAGTTTACACTCACCGCGTCCATTGTTCGCTTCCTCCAAACTTGAGTTGGACAATGGGAAGCAGGCTTGAAGCGTGTAAGTTTTGTCTGGATTATCCGCTACAGCCAAACAAAGCCAATTGCGGTATAATATGACCAACATGTATTTACCCTCGACCGATAATTCGGTCTGCCAGCACACGTGGAGGATTCCACAGAGTTCGATGCGGCCGAAAGCACGAACCCAGCTTTTGCACGCAGCGCTAGTAGCCTATCGTAACAGACGACAGGTCAGAAACTGCTTCATAAGAGCCAAAACGCATATATGTAAACTGTAGATCATATGCCATTGCTCACCTTGGAAGGAAATCGAAGGCGCTCTTCGAGCAGCCATGTTTTCTGGAGGTTGGACTTGATGAGCGGATCGTCGGTTGCCTCGTTCATGGCCCTCGCCGTATTTTCGAGCCCATCAAGCGCTTTCTCAATTTCAGAATGAGAATGCGGACAGTCGTAGACGGGAGTGGCCTTTAACAGTTCCTTGAACAAGAGAGGATAACGACAGGCTCGTTGTATCGGCTGTACTCAAGTGAGGTTCGTCAATATTGGTACGATTCACTTCAGTACATTGCTAGCTCCATTGCATCACACACACCTTGGCAAGTAGGTCGTTAATCGACAAGGATTTCTTCGAACCAGCTGGGCCCCTTGCATAACTTAAAAAAGATGCCAGCGTTTCGAGACCTCTTTGATGCTTGTCCCAGTCCGGGTTCGAGCGGTGCATCTTCTTGAGGTCATCAATCACCATTCCATATTTTACACCGTACTCTTCGTATATATAGGAGCGGAATTTCTATTTCGATGTTAGTTTTCACGAAAATGACGACTCCAAGCCTGGAACTTCTTGACATGACTTGCGATTTTTATGAAAATGTTGGCCACGGCAGCGGCCGTATGGGGATCGGCTGCCAAGCCCGAGTATCCGTAGAGCGGTAGGTCTTCCGTCCTAACTTCAGGAACAACGTCGAGACTGCGTCCTCTATGCATTCTTATGGCTTGCGAGCTGTATAAAAAGCCCACTGGCGGTACACCGGCATATTCTGAGTTGGGAACGACCTTGTAGAGGTCCCCCAGGATTTGGTCATGGAGTTCGACAATGCTCGTTAGAGTATTGTGCATGGATGCACGGAATCCGGGGTCTATCGAAGCACAAGGTGCAAAAATTGACAGGTACGCCTGCAATTGTCAGTGGCCTAGGGCATTGCCTAGTGGCTGGAAGCAGTTTCTGGAGGACGGCTTACCTTCATCAGGAATTTAATGTCCCCGATGTAGCCTTCCTCGGTCTCGATCAGCTCTTCAAGGATACGGCGACGGTGTCTGGATCGCTCAAGCGTTGCCAACTCGGCCTGTGTCTGTGGTCGATCGTCCTCGGAGAGCCTTGCAGAATAGGATGCACGGCTGCTTCGGTCCGTCTTAGACAGTCTTTTGGAAGATCTCGCTCGCTGTTTCCGTGATGAGGGCGCAAGGCTCGTACTAGCACCACTGATGCTTGCATCACGGATGGCCGAGACGTAGGCGAGGGACGAAATAGAGGACGAGTTCCGGCGGGATACAGAGCTGCCAGTTGCCCTGTTTGAATTGTCGGAACGTGCCTGGTCACTCGTATCTATCCGGCGAAGGTGTCGTTGTGCGGTGCCACGCCGGTTCAGTGCCTTGACCCATTTGTAAAAGGGTTTTTGTTGTTTACTGCCTGGTACCAGCAGTTGCTCTACAGGCGAAAGACTACCCGTACCGCTGGCCACGCTTGCTTCTGGCTCGTCATCTTGACCTCCACGTGTGATCCTTTGAGCCGTTGTGTCATTTGCTGGGCCATGACTGGAATACTTGGGATCTGTCGGTACGCGCTCCAGCCCACACATTGGCTCTGCCACGACGAGTCTGGTGAACACGGTCGTGAGAGAGTCGGGCCCACTGTCCGCTATGTCTGTGGTAACAACGTTTCTTTCCACCTTCTCTCCGTATATAGCAACGGGTGAGGTCGAGGTATGTATTCGTGTAGAGTCACAACTCGGTGAAGATAAGGGGCTGCCACAAACGAAGCTATCAAGGACCTCATCGGTCTCCATGTTCTGGTCATCGGCGAGCGCTGCGAAAGTAGACGCCGGCATCTTGTCGTATAGTGGCAAGGAATGGAGAGAGGGTCCTGGAATCGAATTACAAGGGACTGTTTTTAGACCTGTAATGATAATATAAGGCAGACGGATGTAGAAAGATAAGGGAAACACGGAGATATGCCATAAGAAACAGAGTCATACTAATGGGAAAAACGCAACCAGACGGGAAAATTATTGTGAACGTCAACAATTTGTTGATGGCATGCGCAAGGGCTAGGAACAGTTTTTCTTCGTCTCACAAGGCAGGTGCACACATACTTGGCCATCCCACCTTCCCCCCTTCCCCCCTTCATAGGTGAACGTGGGAGGAAGGAGCATTTGAGGAAAGAGGTATCGTCTGAAAGCGGCAAGAATGACAGAGGAGATGCATATTGCGATAGCATCCTCGGTAGTATTACCCCTTGAAATCAAAGTTGTGCGGCCTCAGAAGTAAACTAAAGGTTGCTCTACGTTCGTTGTTTATCACAAAACGTATTACAACGATCTTAATTAATTGTCGTTCAACAAATTAATTTCTCATATAAGGTACAGGAACAGCTCGTCACGGCCAGGGAAAGATCTAGATCTGAGGGACGTTTGCCATGACAGCTGACAGGTGACTTACACGCAACCGCTAAAACTAACAGCTTACGACATACGATTTACAGCAACTGGCTTTAGGTGGCCCTACCGTACCTGTCCAGGCCTACCATCGCCCCGCTTGAATTACCGCGCGTCATTCTGCCTAGTGTCACAGCGGTTTTCTAATGATGGAGGAAGGCCCCGCTGTGAATTGACCTCCAATTTCTCTGATGCTCTTCGCATCATCCGTGCTTCTCCGCCTACGAAACAAAAGCGATGCTCAATCTCCCGCAACTGGGCATGGTATTATGGGATTACCATTGAGAATGAACAACATTCACGCGCCCACCGTGCCCTCGGGCCCGACGACGGCCCGCCAGACGAATGGCGACGCCAAGAACCTCTCGTTCACTGAGCTTCAACGGAAGAAAGAGAACATGGAAGCGGAGCTGACGGCCCTTGGCAGCGTTCTGGATTCTGTTGGTAGCCGACTTGCGTGTCGATCGTGTGGACTGGAGCGTGATGTACTAACCGTCTGTCTTTCCATCCAGCACAATGTTGACATGAACACGCCGCTTCTGACGCCTGACGGGTATCCTCGAGCCGACATTGACGTGGCGCAAAGTACGAACGCGACCTACTTCTACCCTACATTTCCTAGCGAGACGCGAGAAGCTGAATGCTGACGTGGGTATGTGTGGACAGTACGGACAACGCGGTCGCGCATCGTTCACCTGCGGAACGACTACAAGGACTTGATGGGCGTCATAGAAAAGTTCTTGCACGAGCACTTTGCCAGTCTCGATGCAGACGCCACAGGGGCACAAGATAGAGCAGACAACGCAGGCGCACCTGCTGCCCAAATTCTCCCCGACTCGGTCCCAGAGGCGCTCGAGCCTCCATTTGCAAAAGTCAACAGCGTTGTCCATGGCAGCCCTGCCGCCGACGCCGGGCTGCAGGCGGGCGACCAAATCCGCTCGTTTGGCTACGTCAACCACGCCAACCACGACGGCCTGAAGAAGGTCGGCGAGTGTGTGGCCGGAAACGAAGGCGTATGTTGTTTCTCCCTTTGTTCTGTTCTTCTGTTCTTCTATTCTGCCATGTCTACACTCTGGTCCATCACAGTTGCTAACTAATGACCAGCAACGCATTCTCGTCAAGGTCGCAAGGAGCACCGGCTCGGGTCGCTTACAGGAGATCCGCCTGAACCTAACGCCGCGTCGAAATTGGGGTGGACGAGGGCTTCTGGGGTGCCACATCTTGCCGATATAGTACCGGAATCTGTTCGGGCCCAATTGCGAGCTGTTGATACCCAGGTTAGCAGATGTGAGCTATGTGTTATTGTACTAGTGGGACGAGGATATTGGGTCACAAACTCGTGTTTAAGGATGACGTGTGACTCGCAACATACCATGGCAAAATACACAGTAGAGCTGTTGTTGCCAGTGCTGGCAAGGCAGTGTTACGCGCTGCAATCGACCCAAGCTCTTTTTTTATTTAATTTTTATTTAATTGACAACAAAACTCTGGTCCACTTTTGTAAACGCTCCACTGTGTCCCGCCTTCCTCCTCCTGTGACGCCACGCCTGCCATTGCCAACCTCTTTCTGCCTGCCCCTCATGCAATTCTGCTGACAAAACCAACACGTGACCGTTGCTGGCGATTCCTTCCCCGCCGAAGCCCAACCTGGTTTGCACTAGTCCGAAGCTGCCCGCCAAACTGGCTGGCGCCTGCTGCAGCAACAACAGGGCAAATAAAAAACATCATTAAAAAGATTTCTTTTCGCCTGCGCATGCCACCTCCCTCTCCATTCTCCCTCCTTTTTCCCTCCCCTCTCTCTCCACGATATCATCACCACAACCCACCCACCACCTAAGTACAGCATCGCAAAGGTAAGCCCGCTCCTAATGCCTTTCTGACACCAGGTGTTCTTTCGTCCGAGTCTGGCCTTTTATTTTTCACGCCCTTTCCTTGCGCCCGCCTTCGGCCGACGTATCTCTCCCCGCCTTTTTGTTTTCATTTTTGAGGGTCTTCGAAAGGGCCAAAAGACAGCGAAGAACCAGCGACGGCGACGACGACCTTCTCTTCTTTGTCCGAAACGACGATCACTAACAATCGATATTCAGACGGTGTTTTTCTCGGGTTTCTTTTGTATCCGCATTTTCTTCTGCATTTCGCATCTTCACCCTTCCACACACAACCATGGCTGAGGCCGCCGCCCCCGCGAGCAATGTGCCGACCTTCAAGCTGGTGCTGGTCGGCGATGGTGGTACCGGCAAGGTAATATGATTTCTACCCACGAATCGACGGCAGGCGGGCGGCCTTGAGGTGTTTGCTACGACCTTATCCTGGACAGGTTCAGCCTCGCAGCTCGCAGCTCGCAGCCGTGCCGCCGGTGCGACCCTCATTCGATGACGACAATGACTTGCTAACGGTGCCTTGCATCATAGACCACCTTCGTCAAGCGCCATCTGACTGGCGAGTTCGAGAAGAAGTACATTGCCACCCTTGGTGTCGATGTTCACCCTCTGGGTTTCACCACAGTAAGTTCGACGCGGTTGCCCCCCGTCCCACAGGCAAAGGCTACTTGCACGCGCCATATAACAAGGCATGAAGCTAACTCTGTAACCTAGAACTTCGGTCCCATCCAGTTCGATGTCTGGGATACCGCCGGTCAGGAGAAGTTCGGTGGTCTCCGTGACGGTTACTACATCAACGGCCAGTGCGGTATCATCATGTTCGACGTGACGTCGCGCATTACCTACAAGAACGTTCCCAACTGGCACCGTACGTGGACACCCCTCGTCAATCACACCCTTGCTTCCGATGTTGTTGTAAACAAACTCTCAAGCTAATCCACCCATCCAGGCGATCTCGTCCGTGTCTGTGAGAACATCCCCATCGTCCTCTGCGGCAACAAGGTCGACGTCAAGGAGCGCAAGGTCAAGGCCAAGACCATCACGTTCCACCGCAAGAAGAACCTGCAGTACTACGACATCTCGGCCAAGTCGAACTACAACTTCGAGAAGCCCTTCCTGTGGCTCGGCCGCAAGCTGGTCGGCAACTCGGGTCTGGTACGTTATGCGCCCCTTGGCACCTCCCAAACCTTGAAAGCTCTTTCGAATACTAACAACCCGGCTAGGAATTCGTCGCTGCCCCCGCTCTGGCCCCTCCCACCGCCCAGGTCGACGAGAGTCTGCTCGAGCAGTACCGGAAGGAGATGGATGCTGCTGCCAGCATGCCGCTGCCCAACGACGAGGACGACGACGACTTTTAAACGACTCGGCTCGGTTTCGTTTTGTTAGTCGGTGGTAGTCTGTTCAATTATTTTTTGCATGCCACACAGGGAGGTGGTGAGCACGAGCGTCCGTCCGTTGCCGCTACCTCCGCAGATTTGGACAACCCGTTCGGTGCGTCGCGGCAACGTGCACTGGACGCGACTCGACGATACGCTATGATGATTGCGCGGGGAATTTTGCTTCTTACAGTTCGCAACGACCAAAGAAAGGATAGATAGACCCAAAAAGGAATGAATAGTGCAAGAGTCGGGACCACATAAAAAACCCACCACATGAGATGAGCCGATGTGACTTGTGATCTTGAAGGAAAGGAAAACGGTTCAGGTGACAGAGCATTATTCCAAAGAGGTACCAAAGCTCCAACGCAAGCTGCAGGGCCCTCTCTTTCTGCTTTCAGCCTGGTTAGACCAATGCAGTGCAAATGGATATGGTAATCATTTACTCACTATTTACTTTTACTGGAAATATACTATAAGCCACTCAGAAACGACAACGTAGATATATGCTCCTACAAGCAAAGACCTTCTATTCTCCCGTACGGCGATTGGTCCATCAAGCTGTGCGGTTCTCTATCCTCTTCGTCGGTACCAAGAAGGCGGTGAGAATGTTCCTCTTTATATGCATTCGTCTTGCTTAGCCGATTTTTGGGCCTCTTCCCCTTCTTGGTGGGGCAGTGTTTTGCTGCTGTTTTCACCGTCCTAGTGGAGGGGAAGCTTCGCTCAGTTTCCCAGCATTCCGAATTGTCCCACACCGTATATACTCTCAATTAACACTGTATGTACTGTGTGCACGACATCTGGTCAACCGTCGTGTCATCGCGATGTCATCGAGTTTACTCAAAACCATATAGCAAATGCCAGGCGTTGAAAGCGTGATCATAAATGATCACTATATTTTCTGAGAACTGACGCACGTAACAAAAAGGCGCACTATAAATCGCATGGCATTGTGCACAGCTACAATATATTAATTTCTGTCTGCCACCGTGTCCCTGACGCGACAATCGTGACAGTGGTAGGCCGGTTTCTTGTGACTTGTGTCTGGTATTTGAGGCTCCGTGTGACTTCTTTGCGAGTTGTGTGTGTTTTACCGGCTTGGTTTTGATTTAATTTTGATTTATTTATCTATTTTTGTTATTATACGTGTTCTTTTATAAAAAAAAATTGTTTCTTCATTCCTTATTGAATTTACTACGAAATGCAGGCCGTCTGTATGTCCACATACCTGTGAATATTGTACGACAACATGAAAATATCAAGAAAGAAGGATGAGATACCAAAACATGGTCATGTTCTGCACAACCCTCATACTAACACTTTGTACCACGGGATTGATAAAAGGTGCTTTCACCAGTTATGTCTCGATCGTATCGCAAGGCGTCCACGATGTCGCTTCAAATGACTCCTTTTCCAAGTTGACCCTCTCGGAGACCACCTCGGTTCGATACCGAAAGCCCGGTTTGATATGTGAGACCACCGCAGGTGTCCAAGAGTTTGTTGGTTTTGTTGATCTGAACGACAATTCCGGCAACAATGCGACTGCGAGCTACTTCTTCTGGTTTTCCGAGGCTAGACACAGCGCTTTCACGGCACCTCTCACCATTTGGCTGAACGGCGGACCGGGCTCAGATTCCCTCCTGGGTCTCTTTGGTGGTATGGCCCTGACTGGTGTTCCGAGTTCGATCATACAGCAGCTGTGTCACCGGAGACTAACACACTATCAACCTTGCTAGAGATCGGGCCTTGCAAGGTAACGGAAGAACTGAATACGACGTTCAACCCGCACTCGTGGTCTGAGGTATCCAACGTTCTGTTTTTGTCCCAGCCAGTTGGTGTGGGATTCTCATATCAGTCGCAGAATGGCAGACGCAGCTCCGGATGGGTCACAGAAACGACAGAAAAAGCCGCAGTCCAGGCCTGGGATGTACTACAAGCGTTCATGCATGCGCTACCTACAATGGATCCGGTCATCACGACAAAGACGGTCCATCTCTGGACGGAGAGCTATGGTGGCCATTATGGACCTAGTATGTCTTTCTTTTCTTCTCTTTTCTTTTCTTTTCTTTTTGTTTGCCTTTGTCATGTTTTGAGATTCGTTAATAAAACGGACAGGTTTCTTTCGGTACTTCCACGGTATGAACGAAGCAATAAAATCTGGATCGATGACTGGCATTCCTCTCAACCTTGGAGTTTTGGGCATTAGCAGCGGCATTATTGACGCCCTTGCTCAATTTCCCAAGGTGCGTCGTGGATGTCTCCACCGAACGCCTCAAGTCTTATAGCTTATCCGGAAGATGACGACCAACCCCATTCCAGTTCCCAGAGTTTGCAGTAAATAACACTTACAACATCTCACTTGTTCCTGGTGAAGGTGCGTACGCAGGGAAGTGATGGGATGTCATATTCTCACACTCGAGAGGAGGCCCGAAATTCTACATATTGACAGCATCTCAGTCTCACGCTTCATGGACTTTGCCTGCCACATGCCCAATGGATGTATCAATCAGATACAGCAATGTCGCGAGGAGTACCAACGTGACAAACAAAAGTTAGTCTCTCACAGCTTGAGCTTTTTACTCTGCATTTTAGAGCCTTGCGGACTCCCATTACAGCGGATGGCGCCATACGGTACAACAAGATGAGTGCATTCTTTACTAACCGAACAAGCCCCAGGACCATTGCTCGCTGTGCTGAAGCAACATATATGTGTAAGTGGACCACGTGCCTTTCACAAATCTAGCATTTCAAAGGCCGGCTGTTAAATGAGGTGTCCATTCATTCCAGGCCGGGACAATGTAGAGGGCCCGTACTATTTTTACGGAAGCCGAAACATGTACGATATTCGCCGGCCGGCACAGGACCCGATTGTCTCTCAGTCGTTTGTGGACTTTGTCAACCTCCAGACGACCAGGGCAGCCTTGGGTGTAGACAGCATACCGGAGCTCGCGGCGGCCGCGCCAGCCTCGTTTGCCTATGCCCCGCAAAGCGAGACGGTGTACAACGCATTTGCACGCGCGGGAGATTACGTCTTCCCCAGTTTCTTGGACGACCTCGACTATCTGCTTGAGAACGGCATTCGCGTGCTGTAAGATTGCCATACCAGTGCTGTAGATGGACGTGGACATGGTAACGACGGAGCATCTCCAAAAGCCACACGTTGTTTGCCCTGTATGTAGACCTTTTGCTAACACTGACCCACTTTGCCCGCAATGTAGCTTGGTGCATGGCGATGCTGACTACATTGGCAATTGGTAAGTGTCATGGCTCGTGCGAAAAGAAACATGACCTACGTGCTCTTGTTGCTCATTTTGTTGCTGTTGTAGGTTTGGCGGCGAGGCGGTCTCCCTGGCCCTCACGTATACACAGTCGTTTCTTTTCCAGGCTACGCCGTACACGCCGCTTAGTTTTGACGACCCTGACAGCCCCGATTATGGAAGTGGAAACAGAAAGGGGACGGTCCAGGGCAAGGTGCGGGAGTATGGAAACTTGAGTTTTGCCGTCGTATACGACGCTGGCCACTTTCTGCCGGTGGACAAACCTGCCCTTGCCCTCGAACTGTTTCGACGCGCCGTGACCAACATGGATCTGCCGACGGGACGCGATCCGACGAATACTACGGCTGTTCCTTTTGTACCAGACTCGCCGCTGCCAGTAGTGGACGCCAAAACGACACTGCCGTCATCACCGCACATGTAATCTCAGCCGACCGGAATCTGGGACGCGGCGAGGATGTTGAATGGGCAGAACCCCGCGTACGTGCTATTAATACCCTGCATGTGACAGGAGCTGGCAGTCGATCCGGATGGTCGGTGAGTGGGTGAGGTGGGCGCTGCAGTGAGACGAGACAACAAGAAATGCACTTTAAGATGAGTGCTCAGGCCAAGGCCGTATGGGTTTGCGTCTGGTATTTTGTACTCCGTCCTTTGACTGGGTGGCGCGTTGATGTACTTTGTAGCGTTGCAAAGGGAATGGCCCGGTCAGTTCTGCAGACCTTGGAACAGTAAAATAAGGGAGGGTCCGTGTATGTGTGAGGTTGGCATTTTGCAGGACGGAATATGTCGCATATGAACGGAGACAGTGCCGAAGTAGGACGGACAGAGGCAAGAACTAGACAAAAGGGAGCCTCTGTGGACAAGAGAGGGAAGGGGTGCAATGCAGGAAGGCGCTCCTGGACCCGCCAGCAGCACAACGACGCGACCCGAAGGTGCAAGTCAAGAGCGCAGGCCGGCAGGTCTAATTTACAGAAGTTGCACGAGCAATTGCCAAATTGACAGGACAAGCAAGTGAAATAGCATGGCATTGAAGCAGTCGCGACTGACAACGCTTGCGCGCTTCTGCGGTGAGGAAGAGGGGCGTCTCATTAAGATGGGACTGGGGGTTGGAAACAAACGCGCTCCGAGACTGCCCTTTTGGTCTTGAAAATCGAGAATCGGCAGGAGCAGGCCCTTTGCAATTAGAGTCGTCTGGTCAACCAAACAAGCGGGTCTGTTTGCTTAATTGCCTATTCGGGGCACAAGAGCTTCCAGCGCGTCTTTTGATTGGCTGACGCGAATGACAAGGTAAAAGGCACGAGCACCAGTGGGGCTACCCGCTGGGTCACGTAAAATGCTGCTGCAGGGCAATCTTGCTCTTTAGCTGCACCAAGGAAGAGCAGGCACGAAAGCACCTTCCCACGCGCGCCGTGGCGACGACCACTGTGCAACAACCGAAAGCTCGTGTATTTTACTTTTGGAGATGCGAAGGATACGGATAAAGCTCACTGACACGGAGAACGAACAAGTACACCGTACGCGTGCCATAATGCAATCGAAAGACGAGGGCCATGTGCAATGGGAATGTGCTTCACAAAAGTAAAGTGCAAAAGCTACATAGGGAAAGTGAGGGGCGTATTTGCAACAGCCATGGGTTTATTAATATGCACGAGAAATGGGGAACCTCTAATTGGACCCTCCGCAGCATTGCTTTGCTGGGGCCACTGGCCTTTGGCCAGAATCCACTGCTACAACACGCTTCGCGGTTCTCGTGTCTCTTGTATATTGTATCTTTGTGGGCGTCTTAGAGCGCTTTGTCGTGTCTTGCCTGGTCCGCTTTCGCGATCGCGCTTGCCTTACCTCTGAGCCGTTGCTGCTCTTTCTTTTTTTTACCCTTCCTTCCTCCTCTTGCTTTTGCTTCTCTTTCCTCTTCCTCGTTTCTTCGTTCCTTCCTCTCGAGCCTCTGTCCTAGAGCAACGCGTTTAGGACGCTTCCGCCGTTTACTTCCCCTCCGCCTCTCTCGCCTTCGTCCTCGTCTCGTCTCCTCACATCACCGCCCGCCATGGCGTCCGAACTGCCTGCCACCTCCTCGGCCGCGGTCGCCCGCGCCGACGGTGACGCGTCAAACGAGCCGCTTACCTCGTCACCACGGAGCAGTGACAGTAGCAACATCGACAAGGCCGACGACTCCCTCACCCTTTTATCCGACGCTGGTGACCAGAGCATGCTACGGCATCCCAAGGGCAAGCGGAAACGGACTGCGTAAGTATAGAGTGGGACGCGTTCTCAGGATGCTTCTCCTTCTCTCTTTACTACGTTTTATATGCCTTGATTCTTAATCCACTGTTTTCCAAGACACACACGCACACACGTATAGAGAGAGACTGTATGTAGAATGACGCGGCTAACACTCATCTCCCCTGCTTCCAGGGCCAAGGACAAGTCTATCCTCGAGGCTGCCTACCTTGCAAATCCAAAGCCAGACAAGACGGCGCGTCTGGACATTGTCAGCCGGGTGTCGTTGAATGAGAAGGAGGTTCAGGTATGTATAGATTTCTGACGACTTGACAATGTCAAACCGTCAAGTCGACGCGAATTCGACGCGACCCTCGCCATGCATTAACCACTATATTGTCTCATTAGATTTGGTTCCAGAACCGGAGGCAGAATGACCGTCGCAAGTCTCGTCCGCTTTCTCCTCAGGAAATCGCCGCCCTCCGGTACGGTGGCATGCACGCCCTTTCCTCCGACCCGACCACCCCGTTCGGCCACGCCTCTCTCTCCCAGCACTCGTCTTTTTCTTCGGATGGCCACGGCACGTCTTCACCCCCGCACTTCCAACAGTTTACGTCCGCCTCCATGTCCGCCCCTATGCCATCGACGACGCCCACCTCCTCTCCCGAAATTGGCCCGTGGATACCCGAGGCGCTTGCCCAGCGCCAGCAACAAGAATCTGCCGCGTCCGAAAGCGGAGCACCGGCGGCTGCTCAGATACCATCCGGTCCTCGCTCTTTCTCAAGCTCGATGAACTCTCTTGGTTATCTGGCCAATCGTTGGAACATGCACAGCTCCTTCTCTACGTCGTCGTCCTCCTTGAGTGGAGGGAACGGACCTTCACCAAACGGCGGCCACCCCCGGGACGAGTCCGTGAGACTCGAGCCCTTTGTCCGGCCTACATCATCAACCCAGGTCCTGCCACCTCCACCACAACAGCAGCATCTCCTTACGCAGCAAGCCCGGCAGCGTCCATTTCGTCTCTCTCTTTCCCTTGAAGGCAAGGCTGAAGTTATCGCAGGCCAGTCGCCATCTCCTCCCCGGCGTTTGCCTCCGCCGAACCCCACTGTTGATATCGACCGGCGAACGGGTAGCAGCAGCAGCAACGGCGGTGACAGCCCGCTCACAGCTCTACCCGCCATTCGCCGGTTTGGCCTTAGCCGCAGCCACTCGGCTCTGCCTAGCCTGGGCCTTACGCTCCCGCCTATCTCTAGCCTGACGAACTCGCTAGCAAGTGGATCGGCTCCTCCCCCTATGCCCCAGGCCCCCCACCCGCCACGCCTGCTACGGGGTCGCTCGCGTGATGTGCACGCATGGGAGTCTGTTTGTGACTCGGATACACGCGTTGACGACGAGCTCAGTGCTCACGCAGAGCAGGAGGCGAGCGGTTCAGCTATTGCCGCGATCAGCCTGCTGCGCTCAACATCGTCGGTTAGCAGCTCGTCCATGACGTTGTCCTCTGTGCTCCAGCCCAACGGCCACAAGCGGAACGTATCGTCTCGCTCAGGCATTCCGAAACCGGGCATGAAGCGTGCTAAGCTTGGCCGTGCCCTGAGCAGCGTTGCACGGATGCAGAACGTTTCCAATACTCGGGAGGAGAGCGGTAAAGACAAGATGTGGGTCGATGACGAGAAGAAGAAGAAGCTTAAGCTGTCCACGCTGCTATCTGGAAACGACTCCGACAAGGAGAACTGGAGCCCGGATGAAGAAGGCCGTCCGAGTCTCGGCCAGCCGTCTGCCAATAGCCTTGCAGGCAACGGGCGTCGGCCACTGCCATCGTCTAGGAACGGACGGCAGCAGCGGGCCGTATTGGGAGGCGATGGTAGCAAGGGCAGCAAACACGCCCAACTTGCCACTCGGATGACGGGGGGCAAGGTTACGGAATTTGACGCTGCTGACATTTACGAGGACGCGTCTGGGCGGTCACCGCCGAAGCGCGCCCAGTTGTCCCGGGCAGCCACTCTCTCTGCTCCAGATGACGTCGAGCGTTTTATGCGCGGTGCACAGGTTAGCCCGAGCAAGAAGGGCGACATGGACTGCATTGCTGGTCTGCTTTCACTCTCGCAGGGTAACTGGCGCTGAATTGGCGCGTTCAGCTGCCTTCGAAAGATGTCCGCGCAAATGGAATCCGGCCTTCAACAAACAATGACGCTATTTTGTTGCGACCACGTCTCGAGCAAATGGCTGGGTCCAGCGACCGAATCGCACCAATTATCGCAATAATCCTACACCGGAACACCGTGGATAAAACTCTCTAGAGGTTAGGGGCACTTGTTACTTATTCGATGCCAGCACAGGCACTGGCACACATCCGCACACAAGCAACACTAAAAAGCGACCATGTACATGGAAAAAACAAAATCTATTATCTACTGAGGATGGCGGGTTAGTTCTTCTATTCTGTAACACCAACATGAGGCTTGAATTTTGCGTCAGTGGTGTCGCAGTTACTGTTGGATATGATTTACTGCGTCTCTTCTTCTTTTTCTCCCCTTACTGACGACTGTCTGTGCTCCTGAATTTCCTTTGTCTTTGTTTGCTCTATTGCCTCTTTCCCACCGCATCACTGCTTTGTTTCCGTCTTTTGTTCTTTCTATTTGTTGGAGCCGGTACTTGTTTTCCGTTTTTACGTGACCAAAGGACCTGATCTGACACCCGATTTCTCTCACTTTGTCAAGAAAACACAACGATATGAACGGTAGGCCGGAGCTTAATGTTTTATTCTTACTACTTTCTCCTCGATTCGCAAACGAGCGCGCGAGGAGCCTTTTGGCGCTTGGGGCTTCTGTCTTTGTATGATATACGTCGTACGTCGTACAAATGGGCTGTTCTTGGATATTGTATGTTTCCTTTGTCTCAAAACATATGAAAATATGAAACACATAAATCATTCATTCGTTCTCATAATTTGGCGAAGTCAAACTGTGTGATCTTCAATCATTTGAGCTCTATATAAAAAGGTGTTCGAACGAGTCTCGAGCGCTAAATACAGAAACAAAATGTTCCCAGCAGGCTATGTACAATAAGAGAGAAAGAGAGAAATGCAATGAAACAAAATGTTCCCAGCAGGCTATGTACAATAAGAGAGAAAGAGAGAAATGCAATGAAACGATGCCATGGGCAACGTCTTTTGGCAATGTTTGGTCGTGTCAATCATGTACAGCGGAAAGTAGCAATAATAAAAAATAGGACGTGAAAAGCAGGCGCGACATAGAAGCAAGGAGGCTAAAGAGCTCGAGTCGCAGGACACTATCGCAGCGACGTGTCTGGGTATTAAGCAAACACATGCAACGGTCTATGTAATGACGCTTACAATACTTGCTCGGATTTGGATAGAGAAATGAGGAGTCTCTCACATGCCGAGAAGACTCATCTGCCGCCGCAGCGGGCTGGCAGCGACACTGCCTTCCTCGCTGGCATAGTAGCCGGAGTCGGTATCAATGTCCCAGTCAACTTCATCTTTAGACGCCAGGTCGCTGACGCTCTCCCCCAGGCTGGCATCAAAGCCCTTCTGCGTGGCGGCACGCGTATTCCAGCGCAAGGTGCGCGAAACCGAGTTAAACCACTCAGTATCGGTGCGGGTGACAGTAGGAAACGGGTACTGCGACGCAGTGATGGTGACACAGTCACCTTGTTTCAACTCAACGCGGCCCTTGCCATCAAAGGCACAGTAAGCAGTGGCGCGGCTGTTGCGTGGGATGGACACACGCAGGAGCATAGTGTCTGAAAGCACCATGGGACGGAAAGACAGTGTATGAGGGCAGATCGGAGTAAGCAGGATCGCTGGGATGTCCGGATGCACAAGTGATCCGCCAGCAGACAGAGAATAAGCAGTGGAACCTGAAAGTGTGTGTTAGAAGCACGAAGAGGCGATGGGAAGAGAAAACCTTTCTACAGTATAGGAAACTTCGTTGCGACTTACCTGTCGGGGTGGAGAAGATGCAGCCGTCGGCCTGGACGACAGTCAGGAGCTCGTCGTCACCGTAGAGTTCCAGGTTGGAAACATAAGGTGACGGGCCACGGTCGATGACAAGCTCGTTGAGAACCTCGAACTGTTCACCCTCCTCTGGCTGCGCACCAGGGGTAGTGCCGTCGCGGTAGACGGTGCAAGTGAAACGCATGCGCAGGTTCACGCGCATGCCTTCGTTGCCCATTATGCGGTCTAGGTGGTAGCGGAAACGCTCAAATTCAAACGTCGTGAGGAAACCGAGACTTCCCAGACTGAAAGACAGCACAGGAGGCACAATGCGCTGGAACAGCCACGACGTGAAGAGCACGGTACCGTCGCCGCCGAGTGTGACGACGAGATCAAACTTCTCAGGTTGGCTCCAGCACAGATCTGGGGTCCAGTACCGCAGCATGGACTCGAAGCGGGGATCGGCGGCCACAAGGCTGGTAGCACCAAAGCGCTTCGAGTTGCGGAGCTTGGCATCGACATAAACGTTGACACCAACGTCCGAACCATACCGAGGCGTAGACAGCAGCCACTGCGTGAGCTCTCTCGTCAAGATAACGAGCTGGTTGTCGCGTGCCTTGGTGACAATCATGATATTTCGCACAGCGCGCTTGATGGGCCGGCGCTGCAGCTGCTTGGAAACCTCACGCACTCCTGTGGCAGTCTGTACCAGCCGCGAGTGAGACATGTACTCGTCGTTCTTGATCTCTTCCAGAACCTTCTCAATGTCGACGGCGTCGTCGAAGCGTTCGTGGTAGTAGCAAGGCGACTTCAGACCGGAAAAGGCCGCGGCTGCAGCAGACGTCGTAGGGGTAGCATTACTGCGCAGGGCGAGGTCGTTGAGAGCATCGCAAAGCTGCTGTGACGACGACTCCTTACCGGTGGCAGGCTGGAATTGCGCAGTCGCAGGCGGCTGCAGAGATGCCGGCAGCTGGGCATCCATATCTCCACCGGTAGCCGGCTGGCTGTCCGAGGCAACCTCGACAACCGGCAGCGAGGTTTGCATGGTGGCGTTCAGCACACAGCCGAGCGAGAGAGCTTCAGGCTTGTGGCTTCGTGCGACAGAAGCAAGAGCTTTGATGATCGTTTGGCGGGGAACCGAATCGAGAGTGCCGTGGTGGGCACGGGCAGACTGTGGTCTGCACAAGGCGGCTGGCTCACCTAGGCGATCCACATACTGCTGGAGCGCCTGTTGGGTCTGTTCGTCCTTTGCTTCTGAATGTGACGTGCCCTGAAGATCGGTGAGGGGCGATGAACTGTCGCCGGTGAGAAGGGCAGACTGCGATATGGTGTTGTAGGAAGTCCTGGGACGTTGTTCGGTGAGGTTGTCGGTGCGATCAGTTGAAAACGGCTCCAGTCCTTTAAGAGGCGTCGTGTGCGCCAAGGCAGGGTGGATCGCAGTTGACGGCGAGGAAACTCGGCTAGCCATTATGATTTCCCCCTTGGTTTTGCTAGTATTTTGGCTCTGTTTATACTTTTTCCGCTGGGTAATAAAAGGCGGAGTTAGGTGAATGGTATTGCCGTTGGCCTAAACCCTGACCTTGCTTGGGAGCTCGGAAGGCTTCTAGCGGTCTGCTACCGAGAAAATCCTGGTACAGATTTGGAAGTGCTGGAGGGTGTCACACTACTTGGGACAGGACACTGGTGGGGAAGCCGGCTGGTAGGTCTGCCTCCGGAAGGGCTGGAATAGAATCGCGGAGAATCTGGAGGTGTTAGCGCGGGTATATTCCTCCATCAATGTGCACCACCTTTGCATTGCAAAGAAGGATCACCTGGCGCTAGTGGGCTAATCCACGTTACGGGCATCAATCAACTTACAAACACAGTGTTCCACGGTGAAAGGAGGTCGAGGATATCGCCCGGCCGAACTTTCCTTCCAGCTTCTGTCGTACACGCAGAAGATTGAGTTGCTTTTCCGACGCGAGGATAGGCCAATTCCGATAAGTCCGTCGGTTGAGACACTAAGAGCACAACTAAGTCAGAACCCTGTGCAGCTCCAGACTTATCTCGCTTTTCCTTGAATCCTATTATCAGGATGCTGGTCTTGGTTGGCCCTGCAATATGTAGTGGGCGTATGTTTTTGGTCTCAGCTTGCACTTACAGACTCAAAGTGTGAGATTGAAGATGGCGAGTGCACAGCACTGATTGGCCACACAGTAAGAGTGCAAGGACTGGGGGGGGATTGTTCCAGAGGACCGTGTGCCGTCTGGGCTAATTAGTTTTGCTGCACGCTGAGTCGTGTGATGGCCGAACAACAAGATGAACCAGTGCCAAATGCTGCACGTGGGATGGAATGCGGCCGGGCACGATATCAATAGTTGGCTGAAAGTAGCACAAGGGGAACAAAAACAAGGCTAAAAGAGCAAATGTGACGCTTTTCGGTATCGCTAGAAGGGGACATGCAATGTGATTGACGAAATAATCGTGCTGAAAGTCGAAGGTGACTGGTGGACAGTTCTGAAAGGGGTGGTAAAGAAAGACGTGCTTTATGCGGGTGCTACACGCACTGTGACGAGTTCGAAAATAGAGACAGTGAAGGGAACAAATTCCAAGTTAAAGAAAGTCCTGAGAAAGTAAGCTTGTGAAGAAGCAAAAACGGCGAGTGAATAATGGTCTAAATAAGAAATATGAGTGAAAAGTAGAAACTTGAATGCCAGAAGTCTAGAGAAGGGAAATACAACAGAATAAAATAAACAACAATCGGAACTCCAGAGCTCGTTGTTGCGGCGCAAAGTAAAATGGAAAGGGATGAAAAGGTGTTGGGCCGACTGAGAGGAGGTCAGGAGAGAGAAAGAAAGAGCCGAGGTGAGGTTCACGACAGCAATGGGTTGGACGAGCCGTGGGTAGTTAAATACGCAACTGGCACGACAGCTTTGGCCAATGTGCGATCGTATCTGTGCCTGTGTTTTGTGGTATGTGGTCAGTCCCTTTGCATCCTCTGCGCGAGATCACCGTCGTAGCTCTGTATGTGGCATAGAAGATCTGTCGCGAGAAGCTCAGGGGGGTGGAGGAAGAGAAGCAACAGACCCAAGTCATAAAGGGGTGGATTTGTCCGGGGCTGCAGCCCCACTGCAGTGCCCCCCGGCCGTATCTTGATGCCTTTGGTGATCCATCCTCAAGACGCCTTGCGGGTTTGTTTGATAGCTATTTGTTGCTTCCTGGCAACGCCAAGCCCTTTCGATGGCCCTCTGTGGCCAGGCCCCTTTTCGTCCTGTTTTATCGGTGCCTCTGCCACCGTCAATGTGTGCTGATAGAATTAAAAATAGAAGGTCTGTTGTCAGTGGGATGCAAGCATTCCGACATCCCAGATGCGCAATGTCTTCGTGAAGAGAGGCTCTTGGATCGCCACAATGGTGGTGCATGCCAGCCAGTAGCGAGCAGAGGCAACTCTATTCGCAAGCCTCCTCCGCATGGCATCTCGTTCTGGTTGTTTTGCCATTCTTCAGGGCTGTCTGTGATTTTTTCTTTCTTTCCTTTCTCTTCTCCAGCTGTCCCTGGATGATCGGTCTCTTTGGACGTGATTTTCCTTGGAGGTGTTGCTCTGCATGAGGGTAGCCTTCCCGACGGGCATCTGACAGAGTGCTCGCTCTCTCAGTGACCATTCTTTCAAAGGGCCGGTACGCCGCGCTGGTGATCCTGGCGAGACGGGGATGAACTGCAGGGATCTGTTCAGATCAATGTGTGTTTTGGTTTGGATGGAAGGGGATGAAAGTCGTCGACGGGACTGGACAGACGCGGCAAGAGTAACAGGGGAAGGTAGTCAGTGGCAAGGCTGCCCCTTCCCGCTGTGTCTCAAGCTCTGTGAAGCCAGGGCTTGAATGGCTCTTGCCTTCTAGGGTCGGATACAACATTGTTTCTACGACGTATCGTACGTTTTGCTTCCTCCGCAGGTACATGCAAATCTGCAGGCCGCTTGTTCCTTCCATAAAGTTTACAAAATAGCCACGTACGGCTGTTCCAGGCAGGAGCATTGTGAGAAGTGATAGCGAGAAGCGTCTCCCTGTTGGTGTAGTTTGTAGACCTCGCTCGTTCTTTCCATCCACGACACTTCTTCAAACCCGCTCCTGCCTTGCCATGGTAAAATAATTGACGGTAAATAACACTCGTATTTCCTCACACTTTCCACCTATCCCCTGTCGTTAGGCTTGTCGCTCACAGATAGATGCTCGCCGTTTGCTGGGCAGGTTGTTTTCCACTTCAGTTTGACCCGTGTGGATCACACTCAGCTGCCCACCGGTCTCTAGCGCGAATCAATCACTACGCTGTGGGGATGCCGGTTGCAGCAACGAACACTCTCAAGCAAGGGAAAACGTGGGAGCCGTCAGGCCCTTACCCACCGTGCCGTTGGGACCGCCGCCCGCTGTTCTCTGACAGTTGTTGGCGCCTTCCCTTCGGCTGCACCTTCGAGATCCGTTCTTTCCATTTTGCCTCTTCACCGGAGATCGACCGAAAAGGACCAGTTTCCCTAACCTCAAAACGTCTGTCGGCGGCTCTTTCTTATTCAAACCCACGTGTTTTGGCATGGCGCTGCAATAGGACAGAAGCGGCAAGACCGTCCCAAACCAGTGCCAAGACCCAGCATTCTGTTTCTGGCACAAAGGGGCAAGAAGCTGTAATATGTGGTGATGCTATTTCCGATTGAAGAGGCAAACGGAGAAGCACTTGTAACGACTTGTATGGCCATGTACGTTGCACGCCTGGCTACGGAGAATTATTGTTTTGAAAACTGTTTTCGCTTCCCATTCTACCTGTACCCTCAGGCCCAAAGAGCCAGTCCAATCCATTGAAAGCGGAGCCTTCCTGTCTCATCGAGGAGGGCCTCTCTATCCTGGACTGACGCTGAAATGGACCCAGGAGATGAAACGAGGGCATTTTTTTGCTACTAAAACACCCCCAACACCCCCCCAGCACCCCTAAAATATCCACGAGAAAGGCATATCCCAAACACAACCGTGCCAGTTAGACCCACCTGCCGGCTCGTTTGAGAAAAGGCCGGGGGAACGTAAAAGTTTGTTATGTTTTACGAATGAGTTTGAGAAGGAAAAGAACAAAAAAAGAGATAAACAAGTACAACAAAAGAGAAGGCTGGAAATCGAAGAGACGGGCGCGATCTGGGCGCCTGGCGGAGAACGGACCTGGCTCAACTTGGATGTTGGAGCTCGTATGGGATCCAAACAGTGTAGCATTGCGTCGAGCCCTATCACTGGTGACATGATCTGTCTTGTCATTTGTTGACCGAGCAGTGACTCTGATCGCTAGAGTCAGCGGTAGCACCAAATATAGCATAGGAGCTGTATTTTGGGATGTGTAGGACGGAGTAATGTGACGAATGTTACTGATTAAACAAGATGCGACCGATGTTGTATTGTTGTCACATCTAGCCGCTGGATGTCGAGGGTCACACGAAGAGGAGGTGGCGGCGACTGCTCGTCGCTGGTCGTATTCTTGGCTCGTCCTGGGCTCAGTGACAAGCCTTGTTCCGCGTCTCTTCTCTTACCGTGAACCTGTTATGTCCTTTTTGGTTTCACCGCTTGTTTCCCTCGACTTTTTTGATTTTGCTGCTTTTTTTTTTTGTTTTGTTTTCTCCCCTGCCTTCCCCTGGTCTTGATCAAACAAGTCGATAGAGAGCCGGATCCATGCCGCAGAGCTGCAGCGTTTTGCTTTCGAATTCGCGGCCTGGCGTGCCTGAGATGTGCTTCGTGAGGACGGTTCGCGACCCTCGCATCGTCTGTTGTGCCTTGTGAATCGTGCACATCCCTACAACTGCAGCCTAAAAAGAGGAAGAGACGGCACAAGCGGCGAGCTATGCCCCAGAAAGTGACTGGAACGAACATGTTGCAAGTGACATGTGATGAGAAGGAAGGACAAAAAATCATTCTCTCGGTGCCGTTTTCCACTTGAGAGCATCTTCCAATTTCCCTTGGACCGCTGAGCGGAGGAAACCACGCAAGTCGGTGTCGTTGCTGATGTCGTTGCTGTCCAGCGCCATGCCGTCGCCAGACGTATCGACAGCCTCTTGGCTCTGACAGCACATATTCTTTGCTACGGCGAGTGCCTCGTCCCACTCGCCCATGGTGAACTCACCTTCGCTTTCGGCGAGCAGGAGCTTGTCGTCCTGAGCCGAGAAGGCGAAGACATGCGTCGACCGAGCGGTCGAAGCGTCCCGTGGGGAGAAGCTGGTCACAATCTTCGTCTGGGTGCTACTTTTCGTTTCCGGAAGAATGGCCAGTGACGCCGCCGTCGCCGTGGTCCGCATCGGAATACTTGCTGAGAGCAGGGCCAGGATGGCGCTCTGCAGCAGCGCTGGAAGAACGCCGATATTCTGAGCGGTATTAGCAAGTAAACTAGAGAAGGAGTCCCCCCCCACCCAAAAACAAAAATAAAATAAACATCAAGGATAGTAACGCACCAGGCCGGGCATGTTCAACCGTGTGTTGACATAGTCGTTCTCAGGCGTCGCCTGCACTTGCAAGACGACTTGAATGAGGCAGCGTGGGAAGTCGTGCACAAGAATGATCTCTTGCAGTGTCTTTTTCAATACAGACTCGAGGTGCCGCTCACTAGGACCTATATAGGTGCAAAAGCAACAAGATGTCAGCAGAGTGGACTCGAGAATTAATTCATATGTTCCACGAACAATACGGGGTGGGGAGGTGACATGGGCTATGAAGAGAGAGCATCATGATGAGCCCCGTCCCCGGCAACTGGCAAGGACATACCTCCTACACCAGCAGCTGGTCGTACGACAACATCGACAGTAGCTTCATCGGGGTCCTCGTCCCGTCTCTGGGCCTCAATGGGTCCGTTTGCGGACGCAGAAACGGTGTAGCCGGCGTACGAGTAAGTTGCTGAGCCATCTGCGCGAGGTAGCGGTGACAGCACGGCCACCGGTTCTGCGACGGCAGTCATTGTGCGTTTGTGAAATCGGGCGAAAATGACAGTTACGTGGCTGGCGGTTGTGCTGTGGCGGTTGGATGCAACGTACTGGGAGATATTGGCGGTTGTTGAGCTTTGGAGTGTTGACGAGGCTCTGAAAAAATCTTTTAGAAAAATTTACGGCAGGTGCCGCACTTACGCTCCAGAGCCTTGCTCTTTCCCAATCCGAGAAGATAAGATATGTTGCCTGCGCTAGCTGGGTCGCACCTACCCCGCAAGCCGGAGCTTTGGGACGCCAGTAGGCTCCTCTACCTCAGCGAGCTCCACAAGTGCTTGGAGGGAAGCGGTAGCCTAAAGGATAAAACGCCACTGTGGGAGGTGCAACTTTCGCCTCTGGAAATAGGGAAGGAGCGTGTGCCTCCCAAAATACGTCAGACCTCCAACCCTGTCGTATTCATCATCTTCCTATTTCTCTAACCACAAACGACAAAAAGAAGCGTTATATCGAACAACATTGGACAGTTTTCTTTTACGTCCTGCGTCTGCCCGACTTTATCGAAGGATCAGGATCCGGCTGTGCCAGCTCGTTTTGTGTCCCAAGACTAACTTTCATTCAACACAACCTCGAAACCGGTTCGTTATTGCAAGACTGCATCCTCTGCCATCAATGGCTGCCTCAAGCATTCCACCGGCCACCGCGCAGGCGCCGTCTTCGTCCGGTACTATAAATGCCAGTAGTATTCCTAACCTGCGCGACCGCATCCCAAAGCTGCAGCCCCGTCGCCGCGCCGCAGCACCCGCCAACCCGACACCGGCACCCGCGACGCCAACTCTACTCCCACCGACGGCTACGCCGGAGAAGTTGGGCGACTTCCAATTTGCCATCCCACGCCGTCGCATCTTGAGCCAGAACGACCACGAGATTTTCCTGGAGTCAGCAACTTGTACCCTCCTGCAGGCGTGGGTGTTTGGCCTGGCGGAGTCGGTGGTGGACACGCCCGCGGGCGTATTTGCAGACGCTCTGGCTGCTGCGGCGGCAGCACGACAAACTCGGACGGAACTACCCGAAGACATCCCTGGCCAGTGGCGGCCGGGTCAGCAGCAGCAACGGACGTACCAGAAGAACCTGCCACAGCGGCCGTTGTCGCCGGTCGTCTTGGCGCTGCTGTCTATTTTGGACGAGGCTGAAGCGCTCGTGTATGCCAACCCGCCCGACGATGCCGGTGGCTCACGGTTCGGAAACAAGCGATTCCGCGGCTTCGTGGATCAGGTGCGGCAGCGGGCAGTGCAGTGGCACAAGGAGGAGTTGGGAATGAAGGAGAAGGAGACGGCGAAAGACGAGGGCGGGCGCGAGGGTGAGAGCGAGGGCGTGTCGGCGATTGCGGAAGCGGCGGCGTACCTGGCCCAGTCCTTTGGTAACCGCGCGCGCATCGACTACGGCTCCGGCCACGAGCTTCACTTTGTCGTGTGGCTGCTGTGTCTTTACCAACTGGGCCTCGTGAGCCGTGACGACATGCCGGCGCTTGTGCTGTGTGTGTTTGCGCGCTACCTCGACGTGATGCGCCTCGTGCAAACTACCTACTACCTGGAGCCTGCGGGCTCGCACGGTGTGTGGGGGCTGGATGATTACCAGTTTTTACCGTTCCTCTTTGGCGCCGCACAGCTGCTGCATCACCGCTACATCACGCCTCGGGCGGTACACCAGCCACTGACGCTGGAGCAGTTTGGTGACGACTACCTGTATCTCGGCCAGGTGCGATTTGTCAATAGCATCAAGGCGGCCTCGACGACGAATGTCGTGCAGGTGGGCGAAGGCGAGAAACTGACGGCTGGTGGTGGCGGCAGCGGTGACAACAGCTTGCGCTGGCATAGTCCCATGCTGGACGACATCTCGGCGACCAAGACATGGGAGAAGGTCGAGGGTGGCATGCGGCGCATGTTTGTGGCCGAGGTGCTACGCAAGCTACCCGTGATGCAGCACTTTTTGTTTGGTTCGCTGGTACCGGCCGCACCGGGCATGACGCTGCCGCGTGAGGGGAAGGAGGCCGGCGAGGCGGGTGCCGACGTGGACGACGAGGACGAGGACGCGATTGTAGACGGCAACGATACTGTCGACGTCTTTCAGGAGGGCGGCGTGCGCCATATTCACAACCCCAGCGGATGGGGCGACTGCTGCGGTATCCGCGTGCCGAGCAGTCTTGGTGCTGCTGGCGAGATGCGCAAGAATGGCCGCGAAGCCTTGCGGAGAATTCCCTTTGACTAAAACAACGCGCCACCCTTAGAAGGCAGCGCTGAAGTTTGGTTGCGCACGAAAGAGTGAGCCTACAGGCAAAATAGAAAATGGTCACGGTATATACGTTTACGGTGTTTAAAATTGCAAATAGAAAAGAGGAGCTTTCATTGAACGCTAGATAATTTGAACCTCCCGTCCAGCGTAGTGTCCCGGAATCCCAACCAGTTTGCAGAGTAAAGATGACATAAAACATAAAACAACAAGCAGTCGCAAGTGGTAGTGCAAAGGATATAATCAAAGAAAAAAAAAATCACCCGGCCTTATTCCGATACGTGACGTTCTGTGTTTAGGCTCGGGTATGCGCCAGCTGTCGTAACCTTTCAAGAGAGATGAGATAAAGAAGTGCAATAAAAAACAGTCATTGGATGATGAGATGCAACGTAAAGATAAAAGACAATTGGCTGATGAAAAGAACAATGCAATAGGCCACGAGGGTATCAGAGCAAGACCTTCCAGAGGAATGCTGTCGGTGGATCGTAAAATGCAGGACGGATGGGTTAAGATAATCCACCAAGACAAGAACGAGCTTAAATCAGGAACATTGAAGAGCAGAGAAATTCAGCCTAAGCTTAGTCCTCCGTTCTCAGTCTTCCCAGATCGTCTCTAAATCGAGGTCGCCTCGCCGTTCGGCACCGCACACACTCCAGCGCTTACGCTTGTCCCGTGAGCCAAAAGCCAGAGTCCGACCTCGCGTCGGGACGTCAAGGCTGCCACGACCGCCCTTGCTGTCTCCGTCAACGGCGTCGGCTGCCGCTTTTAGCTGAGCCATGCGCTCGGCTTCGAGAGCAGCCTCTTCGGCGTCGGGTGAATCGGGGATCGTCTCCAAGCTGGAAATGCTCGGACTGCGTGATCGCGTGGACGTCGGCGTGGAGGGCACGGAAGACGAAGAGAGACCGCCGAGGCTGCCGTAGGACGGAGCTGACAGCAGCGTGTCGGACGGCCGATAGAGAGGGGAGGATGCAGCAGGCGATGGGGGTGTCCAGGACACAGAGGCTACAAGAACGGGTGCGTCGGATGTTGCCGTAGGCGTTAATGAGCTGGTACTCGTCGTGGAAGCAGATGAGGCGGTCGAGGCGGTCGAGGTTGTTGAGGTAGTCGATGTGATTGACGAAGATGACGTGGTGGTAGAAAGAGAGGGCGCTGACACGGTTTGCGGTGCTGGCGCCAGGGGAGAGGGTGAGCTGCCACTTGACGATGAAAGCCGCCGATACGGTGAGGATGGCCGGCGGGTGCGGGCGAGCGGCTGGCTCGTGATGCTCGTGTTGAGTGTGCCGTCGGAGGGGATGGTTGGTAAGGTATGAATGCCGAGGTTGGGAGAGCTATTACGCTCGTGCAGATTTGGCTGGTCTGCATCGTGTATTACCGAGACGCGTGTTGGTGATGACGGGAAGACGTCTTCGATAAGGCTCTTCTTTGGCGTTCTCGTGGTTAAGGTGGGTGGCCGATGCCCGAGTGTTGGGCTGGATATCCGCGGAACGGTAATCAGCTGCAGGTGGCCAGCGCCGTTCACGCCGGGCATAGATCGTGTCCGCCCCATGGCAGGTGGATAGAGGCTGCCCACGCTCGCGGTCGATCGCGACCGCACGTGCGAGCCGGAGAGGGGTGAGGCCGTGCGAGGGCGGTAAGGAAGGGTATTCGGTGCTGGCACCCACGGGGGCGAGCTGGGAGAAGGCGACTCAGTAGAGCGGCGCTGGTTGTGAGAATTTCGTGGGTTGATCTCGGGATCGGTCGCCATCCGCGGTGTTAACGGTGTCGGCGAGGCAAATATGAAGGATGACGAGCTCTGGAGGCGCTGCGTGGGCAGCGGCGAGGAGCGAAACGCCTCCATCCGTTCAGTCTCGGGCACAGGCTCCATCTTCGCGGAGGATACGCAGGGACGCGCAGGTTCACTTTCCGAGGAGGAAGTGCGGCGGCAGTTCACCTAATAGTTGGAGGCATATGTTGTGGCAAAATAATACAAGGCCGTGAGAAGAAAATGGTGCCCGGTGAAGAGAAAATCGAGATAAGAAAACTGGCGAAGGAGACCGGTTGGGGGCGAGGCACTCCAGCGACACAGCAACGATGTATGATGGGCCAGGAGGTAAACGGCACGGGTGTGGGTTTCGTTGGCTGGTTCGTTTGCCAGGGCTTTTGCAAAACAGACACAGGAGAGGCGTCAAGTGGTTGAATGGTGGCCAAATGCAATCGTCCCTTGTTTCTTCTCTTCCTTCTTCCCCTTTCGTCTGCTGGTGGCGGCGCTGGAAGGGTAGAGATTGCGAGCGTATTTACCCGCAGACCGTTCTAGACGTGCGGAAGAGACACAGACAGACAGGCTGACAAGCTGACAAGCTGACAGGCGAGGGCCAGATGCTTCCCGCGTAGAGGCTGTAAAGATAACCCAGCAGAGCGCTGCCGTGGAACGCAGACGGGTGGTAAGCGAGGAGGTGGCCCGAAGAACGAGAAAGGCAGAGAGACAAACTGGCTCGAGAAGCTCCCGCTGCAGGTCGCCTTGCCTCTGTCTATTCCGTTTTGCCCCTTTTGACTCGTTTACGCGGTCACATCTCACGACGATGGTTGGATCAGGACGCGGCACGTCGTGGCGGCTTGCCGTCTATTCGTTCGGTGGAAAAGAAGTGTCGATTTGGGAAGAAAAGGCTGCTGGCGGCAGGTGGGCTGTTGAATGCTGTATCGCTTGGTCGCTCTCGACCTGCCTGACGTTGAGAAGCGCAGGGGATGAAAGCAAGGGGTACAGTTGTCGGAGGAGGGCGGGCGTGACAGGCCTGGCGAGACGAAGAGGGAATAGAGCGCGGTTTAAGAGAGGGCGAAAAGAAGACGAAGCGGCGATGGGAGAGAGGATGTGGATGAAAAGGAGAAAGAAGTCAAGAATGTGCCGCATCAGAAGAATGAGGAAGGTGCATTCAAGCGTCGACTCCTTGTACTTTACAATTTAGGTGTAAGTAGTCTGAGCCTCACTAGCGCAAGATCAGGGTGCATGTACTTCGTAGGGGTGAAAAGCGGGGGTGGACAGGGTAATATACAGGGAAGATGGTATGGGGTGCACACTGACTTTCACATTCTGTTATGCTCGAGGAAGGTGCATTCTTGGGGCGAGTCTACAGTGTCCCCCAAAGGGCGTTTATTGGCAATCAAATGTGACCGGCCCAGACTGGGGAGAAGACAGAAGAGTACTCTGTGTGGCGCCCTTTACAACACAGCAGGAGCGACGGGCGGATGGGAGCAAGAAACAAAGGGTGTCTGTAATTTCGTTGTAGAAAAAGGACGGAGAGGGAAGGCGCGACGGACTAGCGGGCGAGCCAATGGGGTTCTGGCCAAGCTAAACTAAAATACCAAAGTCCGTCTGTTTGGACCAATTAGGCAACCCGCTTTGGCTCCTGACTCCTCTCTACCGACTGTGCTACAGGACCAATACTGGCCCAGATCTTCATAGGAAACAAAAGCTGGCGTCTAGATCCCCTGCTAAATTGGGCACTTCCCATGCGGTCGCTGGCTCATTTGGCTTAGCCCACCGAAAGGAGAGGAAATGGAAACAGCGGAAGGATTGCTACACTCTCACTCCCGGATATCTGACTGAGACATGTTGGTGCCTTTGTTGGGCAATAGCAGTAGCAACACTTGGCCCACTGTTGCCGCCGCTCCTGTGGCCACTATCACACTCGTTTTACCGCCATCGATAGCACTAGTACACGCCGTTCTATGGAAACCATGTGGTTGACATGCGCTTTGCCACTTTCGATCCAAGAACTTGGAAACAACAACTACTCACTCTTCCATAGACAAAGGATAAAAAAGAAAAGGATAAAGGGGCGACACCGACAAAGACACCCTGACTTGCGTGTCAGTCATTTGGGGCACGGAGCACAGAGCACGGAGACCGCAAGCTCAATCCAGAACGTGTGTTGTTACAACAGCTCGCTATAGAGAGCTTCACACTTGGAGATCCGACGTGTTTCTTCCCGCCGACCCCTTTTTCCCCAAATTGTTTTGTGTTTCTTTGCTTGCCAGTTGCCTTTTTTTCACCCTGGTTGCGTATTTCTGGAAATATTAACAGTACCATCGACGTGTTGTCCTTGTTGCTATATTGCCCAACGTCGTGACGATATATTATATCGGCCGGGCCGGACGCGCGCGTTAGCGAGCGCTGGTTGCACTACGGAGTAATCACTTTGATTGTAATGTGTATTTCGCGTTGCCTGTTGCTTACCGCTGCCCGATTTCCGGCTGTATAGGTTGGCATTGGCGTAAGCATATGGGATACGGGTTGGCAAATAAATGCGCGGAACCAGAAAGCGAGGCCTTTTTTAGAAACCAAAACAAACCGCAAGGGTCCGACAGACGGGACACAAGAGACGCACTGGCTGAACTACGGAGAAAAATAGCAAAGAACGGGGCACGGAGTAGGGCTGGATGCACGTCGTATCAGCTGCAGCGTGTGTGTCGTTGGAAACAGAAGGAGAAGAGGTCACGGACGTATTGTTACTCCGGATACTTTCCAAATTGCGCGCGACAATACGTCGTACCCCCGTCAGCTATGTGACAGTTCTGGGCCGGAGAGCTGCTGAAGTTAAGGAAGGCTCTGTAACGAAATGCAGAGTGCACAGTTTTGCAATGTTGCATGTGTTGTATAACTCGTATTACATTGCAGGTTGGACCCTTCAGCTGGTTACAGATAGCTTAATCGACCAATAACAAATACACGACTCTTGATAGCACAATTTATATTACTTTATGCCAGCACAAAACATCGACGGCCCACCATATCCTAATCTATGGCCAGACGTTGCGGAACTTCTCCTCGAACTGCTTCAGTAACATTTCAAAATCCAAGAGAACCGCCTGCAGCCATCCCTCGGCCGGCTCAGCAGACACTACTGGTACAGACGCACACGATGCAGGTGTGCGTTCGTCTGCTTCCTCATCGTCACTTTCGCTGTCTTCCCACGAGTCGACAACCTCAGCTCTTGTGAAGTCGCATGTGGCCCCCGTTTCTCTCATACCTCGGTTAGAGGACATCTTGTTGATGCGGCTGGGCGGTGGATGCTCCATTGGATGCATTGGTGTCGTCGGTTGCAAGCGCTATTTAGCGAGTTTGGGTTGGCTTTTTGCCATATCATGTTGACGGTATGTATGCCGTTGGTTTTGTGGCTCTCTATCTTTGCGATGTGTTTGGTACCGCATTTGTTGAGGGAGAAATCAAATTATCATATCGAAACAAACGCGTCAACTCAACATCGCAAACGGAAAGATGCAGGAGGTTCCTTCTCTTTACAAGTTAAGAGTTGAAGCACGGTCACGTGGATCTAAGGATACTTCCCTTCCGGAGGGCTCTAGCCGACAGCGGCGTCTTGCCGAGAGTGAAGCACTTGCAAAGTCACAGAATAACACTGGGCGATCGGTCGGATCGGTTGGTTGCCGACGACGCTTGCCGGCGTGGTCTTGACAGTGGTCGCGTAACGCGATCGGAGCGCCAGGTCAGGTACCGCTCTTCGGGATGGCAATGCGCTAATTTCACCAATTGTTCGTGCATCTGTTGGTGGTGCTCCTAGGAGGTGGTCTTGCCTCACAGGTGTAGACTCAGTCAAGTCAACGGTGGTTCTTGCCGAAATCCGATACCTTCGTAAATGGGCAGGAACGACGCGCAAATTCAGCCGCAAAAGCCTGAGCTACGACTGGCTGCAGGGCCGCCTCAGGCCCCCTACTTCCCCGTGTAACGTACGAAGTACGAATTCCCCAATAATACCCCATCGAGCCCATTTAGTGGAGGAAGGTGCCAAGGAAGACTCTTGGCCCCACGACAAGCGATCCTGCAACTCTCTCCAGGCGAACACTACTCCGTCAGAACGACGCCCTGACGTGATTCCGACGGAAAATACTAGAGATCATGCTCGCAAACGCATAGCGCGAGCGCCTAACTGACCACTCGGGCTTTCGTTTGCCGGAATTAGTCTGTGTTTTGTTCAAGATTCGCCAGCCAAAACTGCAGGACCCAAACCGCCGGCGTCATTTCCACGAGCTGTGGGCATTTTGGCTTGTGAAGACTCTCCAACTACCTCCTTCGACTGCACACAGCTCTTTCGACAACATACCACACGTCGCCGTTGTCAACCTTCTCCTCCAACAGACCGACTGTCGCTGATGCGTGCACCCGACACCCCTCGCACCTCGTCACCGGCTGGCGCAAAGCCATGAGACGACTTCCGCGGGGCGTGGCCCTTCCCGTCCCACTCCGCCTTTCTTCTTCCTTTCCATTGTCCTCCTCTTTCTCCTTGCTCTCCACTTCGTCATTCGCTTCTTCTCTCTCGGGCTTTCTCCTCAACGCCCCTCGGACGGGGCTTCGTACCGCTCCCTTCTCGACGTCTTACCCTCGACGCCCACGCACATCTTGTCCAGCCAGTGGACAACGGGGACGCCTTTGGTTTGCGTCGTCAGGTCCGGCGTTGCGCCATGATGCGCTGCATCAACACCGGTGGTCGTCTTCGACGCCAAAGGTCCGGCCAAAAACAGCAATCTTCTTTCCTGGTAGGCCACTGAGCAATGTTCTTGACAACGTGGGAGTACGATGATAACTAACGACCCACCAGGCCAAGGCGTACAGAAAGTCGGCATGCTCGGGCCATGGCTTGAGGCCTTTCCCATTACCGCGCGCGACATAATGCAAGAGATCGACCACTACATGAAATACAAGCTGTCGGATGTTATCCAGGAGGGGCCGGGCAAGGTGCTGACGGCGACGCCCAACGCGCAGCCGGCCATCATGGCGACATCGATTCTGATTCTGCGGATTCTGGAGCGTGAGTTTGACTTTCGGGTGGCCGAGCGCATCGACGTCACGCTGGGCCACTCGCTCGGCGAGTTTGCGGCGCTGGTCGCGGGTGGCTACCTGCAGTTTGAGGACAGCCTGTACCTCGTGCGGAAACGCGCCGAGGCCATGGCGAGCGCCACGCAGCGTGCGCGCGACGAGCACGGCGGCGACTACGGCATGGTGGCGGTAGTGACGGAGCCCGAGTACATGGAGCCGCTGGTGGCGGCCGTGTACAAGTTTCTGGGGTACAGCGCGACGGGCGAGCGGCTGACAGCAGCTGCGACAGCGACAGCAACACCGCCGCCGAGCGAACAGGTGCTTATTGCCAACATCAACAGCAAGAACCAGATCGTGCTGAGCGGCAACATTGAGCGCATCAGCGAGCTGATGGCGCAGGTACGGCTGTTCCTAGGCCACGACCCGCGTGCGGTGCGGCTCAACAGCGACAGCCCCTTCCACAGCCCCATTATGCGTCCGGCCGTGGCCGAGATCCGACGGCTTTTGGCGGGCCACAGCCGCGTCGCGGGTCGCGAGGGCGAGGACATTGTGTCCTTCCCGGGCACCATCCCGTGCATCAGCAATGTGACGGCACGGCCGTTTGGCAGCCGGGACGACCTCAAAGAGCTGCTGGCGCGGCAGTGCGAAGAGACGGTGCGCTGGTGGGACAGCATCCGCTACCTGGACCAGGAGGAGGGTGTGCGGCGGTGGATCGGTATCGGGCCTGGCAAGGTCGGGCGCAACCTCGTGGGCAAAGAGGTGGGCATGCGCGGCAAGGACCTGGTCAAGGGGGGCGGCGTGTGGGCGATCACGGACCCGACAGAGATTGAGGAGGTCCTACGGGGCCTAGAAGAGACTGAGTCGTTTGTGGACGACGACTATTAAGGCGACAGAGGAAGATGGGGATGAGGATTACTGGATGAGGATACTTTTCGCAGACAACAGACTGAAGATTCGGTCAAGTCGGCAAGTGTCTGTTTTTCTGCTCTTTTTGACGAGTTTACTGTCTTGGACGCAGGCGTGCACTGTTTCATGTATACCTAGGAGGACAGGATAGACACACGAGTGACGTTATTGCGTCTTGCTTCACGAGTTCTATGTTTAATTTAACGTTTAAGTCACAGTTAATGATACAGCAGTCGGGAGTGTTTCTTGTTAGCTCCTAAAATGTCCCTTGCCTACCATATAGTGGGCATTTACAGCGCTGTCTTTAGCGACTTGGCCAGGCTGCACGCTGTTTTTTGCTCAGCCTTGCGCTTATCTTATCAGCTTCAATTGCCTGTAATCCAGTTGGTGCACAAGCAATCCTGCCGTTTCATCGTTTCCTCTCGGCATATCTCCAGGGACACCACACCCTCCTCCACCTCCAGAACGTCCCGTGCCGAGCCATTTGTTTCGTTTCTTTCGTTTGTTTCTTCGTTTCACGTTCTATTTGTCTTGGCCTTCTTGCTCTCGAAACCTCCACGGCTGACTAAATCGCCGTCATGTCGCATAGTAAGTTGCCGTTTCTTGTTTTCTTTCACTCATTCTTTCGACACTTTGTTCTTCGTCCGCGCAAGCGCTCACACGATACAGGCAAACGAAACACCAGTCGCGCCGTCTTCACCTCCTATGAGCGCTCACTCGCCAAGGCTGCCTGGACCGTCTCGTCGGCCCGCCTCACACGCGACTCTTTCCTACCTTTCGCCTCATGCTCGCTGTGCCTCGAACTCGCCCAAGACCCCGTCGCCTGCCCAGCAGGCGACATTTTCTGCCGAGAATGCGCCTTGAACAACATCTTGTCGCAAAAGAAGGAGATGCGCCGCCTGGAAAAGGCGCGCGAGCAGGAGGAAAGGGATCGCGCCGAGCGTCAAGCACGCGATTACGCCGAGGACCAGGCGCGGGCGGTCAGGGAGTTTGAGCTCGTGCAGGCCGGACTGGAGGCCAAGGTTGGACGGAAGGCAGGCGGGTATGCAAACGGCGCCCATGACAGAGAGACACCGGCTGCAACGTCGACATCAACGCCCACGCAGACACAACGACGTCTGCTCGAGGCCGGCCCTTCCATTGACGCTGCTGGTAGCAACGGCAACGGCGACGGCGACGACGGCGACAAAATACAGCTGACCAAGAAGCGCAAGTTCGCATTGGACGAGGACGAGCTGCAGCGCATTGCCGAGGAGGACCGGTCCAAAGCACGGCGCGCCATTGAGGCCGAGCGCGCAGCCGCGCACGACGCCCAGGCCCTTCCGTCTTTTTGGACGCCCTCTGAGACGCCGTCGATCAGCAAACACAAGGACGGCTCGACAGACGCGAAGACGAAGGGTGCCGATGGCAAGGGTGGTGCCGGAGCAGACGGCACGCCTCTGTGCCCAGCCGGCCACGACCACCATAGCTACTCGCTCCACACGCTCGTGTCTGTGCAGTTTGAGCGCGACGCCAACGGCAAGCGCATCTGCCCGGCCTGCAACAAGATGCTCACCAACGCGTCCAAAGCCGTGCTGGCCAAGCCATGCGGCCACGTGCTGTGCCGCAGCTGCGTGCACAAATTTGTGAAGCCGCCGGGAGCGAACGGGCAGTCTGCTTTGTTTGACCCGCACGCGCCGCCAGGAACGACGGGCAGGGTGCGGTGCTACGTGTGCGAGACGGACCTGGACGACGCGCCGGACGAGAAGGACAAGAAGAGTAAGAAGGACAAAAAGGATAAAAAAGAGAAGAAGAAGGACCGTGTCAAGCCGGGCCTTGTGGACCTTCGCAGCGAGGGGACTGGCTTTTCGGCCGGTGGCGCCAGCGAAGTCAAGAAAAATGGCGTTGCCTTTCAGTGTTAATGGGTGCTGGAAGGTGAACACAATAAATGGAGAGCATACAAGAACCGGCGTTTATATAGAAGGGGGCATATCACGTGGGGACAGTAAAGACTTCAATTTATGGGCTACAGTATCAAACAACAAGCGAGAGTGCGCGTGAATGATCGAGTCTATCTGTTTCTCCATCTGTTTCTCCACCTATTTCTCCATCATCCATTGTCTACTTCTTCACCACGCGAGGGATTTTCGAGATCATGTTAAAGATAACAGTACCAGCACCGTCGTCGTCATGTTCAATACCCGTGCCACTTTCAGTCGGTGGCGTTCTCGACTCTGCACCGCTTGCCGATTGAAACGGAGCTCCCCGAGTCCGAGGAATGGTCGTCTCGGTACGCTGAGTGGCATCATAGCGAACCAATGCACTGTCT